CCAGGTATAGCTCGGGACACTTCTCTGGGTCTCCTCGACGATTCTTGACCTGAAAGCTGCGCAGGGTCTGCTGCCACTGCTGCAGTTGCTGCATGTCCTGAAGCAGTGGCTGGAAAAGAACTGCGGGCTTAGCGCATCTATGTTCCGCGTCGTAACTGACGAACAACTCCCCTGACCGTGGAACCGCAAACTCCGCAAACGCCTCGTAGATTTCTCGTTTTGGGAGGACTCTCCCTTTCTGGGGTAACCCGGACCCCTTTTTGGGATCCCCATGTGCACTTGAAGCGCAGAAAAAAGCGTACCCTCCGATGAGCCCTTCTGAGATTCTGAGGGGGGGGGCAGAAGGGCGGCTTCTGAAATGAACGATGGGTGGACAGAATAGAAAGGATGTCCACCCTAACAAGGGAGCAAGTAGCCTAGCCCTTCTTGGTGGATCCCCCTAATTCGCAGCTGCATAATAAAACTGTGACACAACTTTGTGGTCCAAGGATTTGTTCCCAAGACAGGCAAAGTCGCGGCAATGGCAACACGGCGAACACACCCACATCAACAATGCTGCGAACTAAATGAACAAAAGCTAACGAGCGACAACGATAATGCTTAATGATGCGTATGATGCTGATGATGATGATGATGATGATGATGATGATGATGATGATGATGATGATGATGATGGTGATGGTGATGGTGATGGTGATGGTGATGGTGATGATGATGATGATGATGATGATGATGATGATGATGACGACGAGGATGACGATGACGATAAGAAGGATAACACTTATAATAACAAATACAAATTCTGGTGCGATGGCTAAACAACACGCAAACAAAGCAGCAAGCAAGCAAACAAACAAATACAAGCAAACCAAAAAAAACATAACACACACACACACACATCGAAGGTCCATTAGACAAAACAGGGTTACTCAGCAACCCCTCCTCCAAACACCAGGGCCTTTGTGCAAGAGAACAAACAAGCAAAAATCATGCCCTAATTCTGGGCGTCTTCCAGCCCAGACTTTGCTTCTCCAGGGGAGCGCAAGTAGAAACTTGGGCCAAATCCAAAGGAAAACGTAGGGGTCGTGCTTTTCTTTGGTGTTTCGTCCTGTTTGGGCTTGCTTTCACGGGAAGCCGAGAATTCATCGGGGTGGTGTTCCAGGGGGACCTGTTGGCTTCCCCAAGCTTAAGCAACCCCGAACCAAAACCCTCGGCCAAAAGGAGCCCAGGGCTCGGAGCGCCTGCGTCACAGGCAGCCACAAGGCGCGGCGCGGGCCCAGCCAGTAGCCATGCTGGAATCGGAAGCTGCAGCTCAAGCCCAGCTCCTAGCATCCCCATGCAGGGTACCAGGGTAATCCGACCCACCAAAGGTGACCTCAGCTTTGCAAAGTGTCCCGTCACCCTGTGGAAGTGGTTTCAGTTTCAAAGGAAAGGAGTCTTGCACAAAACACGCCGATCGTCAGCGGTGCTTGGAGGGGGAGGGTCGTGGCTCCGTCGAGAAAACCCTCAGACTGGGCTATTCAAAGCAGAGGGTGGGCGAGCCCAAATCCATCCCAATGGGAAAATGGCTGGACGGGGGGACCGGTTTCTTACGGAAGCCAAAACAAGGATCTTGCGGATGTCCTTTGATCCTCTCTGAAGGTTGAACTTTCTGGGCAAGGAAGTAGACCACATGTCTAGCCAAAGTCATCTACAAACAGCCTTGTTCTTTGGACCGTCTGCGTCAATGACTCGAAACTGCCACCAGTTAAAATGATGGGGTCAGATTTGCTTAATATGCCTTAAAATCAAACGTCTCATTCGAGACGTCCCCAGAGCTGCAAGGCTTGAAAACACAGGCAGCGGTCATTTGAGATGTCCAAGGGTCCGCCAAATACCGCACACAACGCGTCGCCTCAATTTCCACCAAAGGTAGAACTGGTTTTAATCCTAGATGGTGGGTGTTGCCCTCTTGGTTTCCCTTTAACAGCCAGCCAGAAAGGGGTACCAAATAAAAAAAAAGGGCAGGCCCCTATTGGGGTCCTGGCGATTCGGAAGCCGAGGGAACCCACAACCCGTATACCAAACCTCGAGGGCGGCGGGGTTACGAGCTCTGTGTCAATCATTTATTCGAGTCCAAAAGAAAACTTTGCAAAAACCAGAATCTCCTCGTTCGGGTTACGGGGTGCTTTAAAACCGAAGCCAGTACCTATCATCACAAAACAATCCAGCAGCTCCTGCAGATCCTTGCCGCGCTCTTTAACGGCAGCCTCCAACGCGCTCCGCAAGCAGAGATTTTCCGGTGGCGTCGCTGCCTGTAGTGAGGTCTTCGCCTCGAGAAACAAGGCCAACTCATGTTTTGTGGCGCGGCGGTGTTTCCGTTAGTGGTATGGATTCCCGCGGTTGCGGCTGTGAGCCCCCAGCCATAGCCTCCTTTTACCTGAAGCAGAAGGGTTCCCGTTACAAGGTTGGGTTCGTTTGGGTGAACTTTGTCAAAGCCGTTGGAATTATTGGCGGCGCAGCCCCGTGCTAATTCTGGATACGCGTGCTGGAAGCGTTAAAACAAGAATTGCAACGCAACTGTGCGCATTTGCCTGCTTCGTCGGAAGATCACTTTTCGTGGCACCCGCAGCACTTTGGAGCATTGAGCCCCGACTTCGTGGCAGGCGCGTGACATCAAGTTCCGCGGCCTGTAGGGTCGCGTGTTGAATTTCGTGGCAGGCACAGGCATGCAGCTTTTCGCGGCAGGCGCGCTACTTTGCAGGGTCGTGCGTTGAAAAACGGCGGCAGGCGCAGCACTCTGAAGCACTGACGATGGAAAAAATCGTGGCAGGCGCAGTAGGAACGCTCGTTGCATTTCGTCCAGCCTGCCTCATAACATCTGCTCTCTGCCTTCATGTCACCCGCCGAAGGTGCTTGCGCCATAAAACTTGCAGCCACGCCATTGTTCTCGCTGGCACAAGAAGCATTGGCTTGGCCAGCGTCGGAGTGAACCCAAGGCGCCAAACCGCCAAACGCTTTGCGAGAACTGTAAGGGATCGCCTCAAGCAATTCTGGCTGAACCACGCGCTTTCTTGTTCTGAGACGGCAGAACACCCAAAACCTTTAGCGGCAATTGGCATTCGCCACAGGTCTCAAAGCAGGAGCTAAGGCATTTTCGCTTCTGACTTCGAAGCAATGGCCGCTACTTAACAGCGTGATGCAGCTGCGCCAATAGGCCAAAGGTGCAGCGCCCCAATCCCAGGCACGTTTGTTGGGGGCTGCGCTGGGCTTGTCTCACCCAAATTTATCCAAGACGTGGCGCGCCGGCTTGATTTCTTGCAAAACTTGCCCACCGACAGAACGGCATGGCATTGAGCAGGGCTGGGGAAACACGAAGCGAAACCGCTGCGCAAAAGCTTTCAAGCCCTGAGCACGGGCCTAAAAAATGGCCCGCAAACAATGGTCCGTCTGCAGACGGCAATCCTGGAAACTCAACCTTGCCTTGCGTTTCCTCCAGCGAGATTCCTTCTGGGGCCACAAATCTCCAATCCGGCCCCAGTTCTGCCAAAACTCGAGCGAGAGCTTCGGCTGGCTGGGCTCCGAAAGGCAACAGACGTTCCTGAACTTGGGGTGCTACGGCTGGCGCACAAGTCAAGGAGTTGACGCCGTCATGGGGCCACACCAAAGACGCGCCACAAGTTCATCTCCGCAAGCCAAGAGCAAAGCCGACGCTGGAGCACGTAGACAGGAGGCCTGCGCTGGCTCCGACACCTAAGTGGGAGGCGGTGAGCAGTTGTTGAGCCCTGGCAACCCTCGCGCCACGCCCCCGGCCCGACATAATCCACAGCCAGGCGCAGTACTTTGAAGGCGCACGCTGCATTTCATGGCCGGCGTAGCACTCTGAAGCACTGGCGCACTCATATCGTGGCAGGCGCATTATTTAGGATCGCGTGTTGAATGTTGCTGCAGGCGCGGCACTCTGCAGCACTGGCACGCACATTTCGTGGTTGTAGGGTCACGCGTTGAAATTCGTGGCAGGAGCGTCGCATTGAATTTCGTGGCAGGCGAGGCATTTTGCAGCATTCACGGTAAGGGAACAGTACCCTAAGTCTACAGGGTTGCGCGTTCAACTTCGAAGAAAGCGTGGCTTTGCTTCGCGGAGCATCTTTCGGGATGCTGGGTATGTCAGTGGGGGTGCTTCTTTTTACTTTCTATGGGGGGCACGTCTTCGGGAATGTCTTTGGGAAGAGTTGGACATGCCTTGGGGGATATTCTCTGATAATGTCTTATTTGGGAGTCTCTTGCCTTTTTTTCGTGGGTCTGTCATTGGGCATGTGGGTTTTAAAGTTTTATTCAGGGCAAGTGCGTGGTTTGTTTTTGCAGGTGATCGTTTGTGGTGTCTTTAGATGTTTTGGGGATGGCGTTGGGGGCTTGATAATTTTGGGAGGTGTTTTTGAACATGCCTTTGGGGGAGGGTGTCTGTGGGGATGGAAAAGCAATGCAGGACGTTCATTTGCACAGCCTCGGCTGGCAAGCCGCAACTGTTCAGTACTAAAGTTGTAAGCAAAGAAGGTATCTTTGGGAAAGCTTTTGCAGTTGTCTTGGGTGATGTCTTTGGGGATGTCTTTTGGAGATGTCTTTTGGGTGGGTGATTTGAGGGCACAGGGGGGGGCATCTTTTGGGGATCCCTTTGGAAGGCGATTTGAAAACCAGGGGAAAGGAAAAGGTCTAGGCCCCAAGGTGTGTCATGTCGATAGACTGAAGTTTGTGTGCTCCATGATGGCAATCATGGCAGGATATACCTACTGAAACAAAGCGGCAAGCGGGGCAGCTAATCAGTGCCTCGCAAAACATGGCCTACTCAGGTTCCTCTGTTCTGAGCCGACATGGTAGTGGCAACTCTCTCATTCTGTCTTCCTCTGCAAGTCCAAAGCCAAGGTCAAAGGGATTCTCAAGAGATATCAATACAATGGGAACCCCAAACCGTTGTCCGCAAGCACGGCTAGAGTTCGGCTGGAAATTTGTTACACGCCAAGCAATCACGGCACCAGGCCCCTTTTCAGGTCTTTGTCCAAGTGTCCGCTGATCCTTCATGGGTTGAATCAAAACTGCGACTGAACCTGGGTCCTGACGAATGGGTTCCTTTCGGACACTACAGTGTCCTTTGATGCAAGCGATCGGCCACATCAACTCGGGTCCCCGGACATTTTATTATTTGGGGGGAGCCATAAACTGGGGGCCCTGACTTTGGTTTTATTGTTCTAGGGCTGCCTTCCCATTCTTTCCAGGGAGCCTTCTTTTCGGGAAACCATCAAAAACCCAGGAGAAACAGATCCGGTTGTTGAAAAGAACGAGGGTTGCAAAGAATGGGAAAGGCATCAACCCCTAGAATTGTATATATTGTTGCTGGCCTCAGTATTTTACCATGATCAAAGTCACCCCGTTCAGTGGTGGGTTAAAGGGAAACCACCGATTCCCTTTGCTGACTTTGATAACCCCCAGAAACCGACCAAAAAAAAAGACCCCAGTTTTTTGGTTGGGGGAGCCGGTTGCTGTTGGCCAAAAGTCTGCCCGTCCGAGCCACCGCAGCCAGAATCACCAGCTGCTCTAGGGCCGCCGGCAAGTCGCACCTGAAAAAACCCACGCAATGGCGCGAGTGATTGGTTGTCGGCCGAGCGATGGCGCGAGCGCCGCGAAAATCGACCCCAAGGTGTTCCTTCAAATGCGACCAGCGAGGGGGTGGGATGGAGAAATGGGGTGGGGTGCTGGGGTGGGGTGTTTGGTGGGCTGGGGTGGGTAAAATGTTCATGCTCAAAAAGTGAAACAGGGCAAGATGTGCGGAAAAGGTCAGTTGAGCCTGGCCGTGCTGCAAGCGGCCAAGGAAATACAATGGGGGCGTGGGTTGCTTAGAATCCATATTTAGTCATGATGCTGCAAGTAAAGTATTAGCAATTACTTAGCCCTTATTTTACATGCAACCCCTAGACCAGACACCACATAGATATGACACTTCAGCTCTTTGCTGGGACCACTCATTTGTCCCTTATGTACTTCATACTTCCCTTTGCGGGGCGTGTCTTTTTGTTCAGGGTACCCTTTCTGAGGTTTGATGGCGATCAAAAACCATATGCTTGGAAATTCGCCGCACTAGGACACATACGAGGTCGTCTGATGATGAGCTTGTCCCTACTCTAGCAACACACATGTCCCTTTCCTGATCCGGCCGCAAGATCTTGATCTTTGGGCCTTCAAACAAGGTTGCGTTGAGAGGTGTAGCGTCAGAAGCCTTCAGGCACTAAACATCCATACTAAACTTTCTGGTGCTCAGTAGGGAATGCGGGAATGAACCTGGGGATTCCCTTACTAAAGGAAACCATAGGGGATGATTTATACGGGTCATTCCCTCATTCCCTGCTGAGCAACAACAAGTTTAGCTAATTCTGCACAACCACTATCATACTGAAAGAAGTCGTCTTAAGTGAAGGATTCAGGGAAGGACCTTCATTATGAGTGAGTCCGTCTTACCCCCGTGCCAGCGAGCCATTGTGCAAATGATTTTCTGGCGCCGATCCGACATGACGCTTTCGCAAACAAAAAAACACTGAGGTATCCTCTTCCATGTTCAACAATCATGGAAGTGGACGCCTTTTTGAAGAGGATGGTCGTATCGCCTCCGATATTCCACCTCCGCTGTTGGAAAAAGGTTAATTGCTTATGAGGATGAATTGTTCAAATTTGCCAATCCCAGTCAATGGTAGAACTCATGAGTTTGCGGTTTGATCATTTGTGGAACAGCTCGGACTGAGAGCCGCGCATGCGCGCGGACACAGCCACACCCATGATGTCCATGCTCGCTCGGTACTTGAGGCTACCACAACTCCTGCGCCAGCGAAGCAAGGCGCAGAGTATTCCAGAAGTTGATTGGTTGAAGCCGTGTCCATTCTTGTCACCCATGGTTCCGGGGAGAAAGCTCTTGCCGAGCTTTCCAAAAGAAGGATCCCTGAAAATAATGCCGGATGTTAGTAAGAGGTTAGCCGCTTGAACTTATATCCCGCACACAACAGAATTAACTCAACTCCACTTAGGACAACGTATAAATGGACTATGCCTCAGGCTATCAACAACTTTCTACCTTGGTGGACAACTACCAAGGGGAACTCACAGGTTGATGTCCGTTTCCCTTGAAACAACCTGATCTTTTTCTTTCACTTGGCTGAGCTCCCAAGTGCCACAATGGGGTGGCCCAAACAGAAAGACTTGGTGTTTTCCTGCTGGTTTTTCGCTGGGGCCTCAAGGTAAAACGGCGAATTCCCTCCGGAAAAAGAAAAACACACTTCCTAGAAACTACACTTCCTAGACAAAAACTACACTTCCTAGAAAAAACATAAAACAACACTTCCCAGAAACTTAGCATCTGGTGGGGAGGATGAAGGGACTGGATCCCTGTCAAGTGCCGTGTGGGCGTAATTGTCTCAGACCCCCCCCCCCCTCAAAGAAAAAAAAACGACTTAAGCTGTGCGTTTGGCTTCGGGTGTTGTACGCATATATCCAAAGGCCCGCCCATTCTGGAGTGACAGATCTTGCCCTACCCAAACCTTGGTTCATCATTGGGGTGGCAAAGGACCAAAAGGAAGAGGTCCCCCGCCCCCCCCTCAAACAAAACATTAAAAAACAAAAAGAAAACATGCCGCGCCTGCTGCACCTCAGACTCTGGCCCACCAGGCCCATGTCCTGGCCGGTAGCAAAACCCGGGTGCTGGAGTGACCCGGAAAACCAGGCGCAAACACCGAAACTTTAGAACAGTTGGCATGTTCAGGGCGCCACCAGTTGCGCAAACACAGAAGCTTTAGAACCGTTGATGGAACTTTCAGGGCGACCCTGTCACAAACACAACACATAATTGGGCGCAACCTTTTGTTTCTAAGCAGACAATGGCTGCTGAACCATGTTGTTGAACAAATACTTCAAAAGCAGTGAAGCAGAACCACAGCCAGTTGCAGTCCACATCTGGGTAAGTAACGCTAGATTACCTCTTGGCGTTACATGCTGGTGAACCCTGGCAACCTACAAACAAACATGGTAAATGGAAGCACTAGGCGCAAGATACCAGCGAGAGTCCCTGGGCAACCACGTAACTTGGCATGGCAAATCCCCGGGCTTGCATACCACAAACAAGTGCAGACGGGTGTGCCAACTTCTTTCCCACCCCGGGTCCTCCTCTCCAAGGTCTTTCTGGCACTTCCGCTGCGTCCCGGATGTGTCTTGAGGCTGCGCTGGTTTCGAGGACTGCTCCTTGCAGTCGGCTACTTGGCGCAACTCTTAGCCGGAACTCGGGAACCCTCGACATTCAAAACGATTAAGCTACTACACCAACCAGTTCAACCAGTTGATGAGTATCAAAAACAAACCAAAGCCTTTGGGCCAGCATCTTATATTTGTTTCGTATCAGCCGGAAGTCGGGAACTTGGAACCCTGGAGGGAGACCCGGGAATATTTGCTGAATCTGGTCCTTTTGTCTGCCCAAAGATGCTAGACATCTTTGGAGGAAGCCAGTTGCCCTTTGTTCGGGCCTGAGCACAAGTAACAAACGTGGCTACGTTCCAAAACAACCAAGCAAAACCAGGAAACCAAATGAAGAAAACTCGTCTTTGCCTGGGAAAGGAAAACACTTGTTCCCCATGTTGTGGCATGTTTCAAACGGGACCCCAAGCCAAATTATGATTTAAACAAAAGTAAACCCTCTTTTGTTGGGTTCTTGCGTCAAAAGCAAAAGACACCTGCCACGGAAAGTTGCACGCAAGTGGAACACCAAAAAACACAAACGGCCTTGATTGGGTCATCCAAAAACGAAACACACAAACGGGCCAGCACTTCTGGGATCTTTGTACACAAGCCTCGCGTCAAAACCTGGAGAACACCTGGCAACCGCCAAAAAACATGTCATGTTTAAAGGGTGCACCTTTTTGTGCCGTTTTCGCCTTGGTGATTTTTGTTCTTCTAATTCTCACCTCGTCACCTCGTTAGCGGAATTCGCCAAATGGATTTACCGCCCCGCCTCGTCAGTTACACTCCCCAGAAACAACGTTTATCCCGATCAACAGCAAAGATTCCGACGAACACTACACACAAGCCGGGTATTTGTCCACAAAGCGGGCTTGGTCACGCACGCAAAGATGTCAGCAAAACTGGCCTGAGCCAGTATGTTTCGGGTCCGGCAACTCTACATTGAAAGGTTCTGCCGGACCATCCTTGCCGCTTGTAACCTGCCAGAAGGAGATGTGAAAGCAATTCGTTTTTGAGGGTTTGCAGGGGCAGCCTCCCCATGGTCAAAGAGCAAGGGCCACCACTACAGACAGCTTGTATTTTTGGAGCGTGGAAACTTTGAGTTGAATATTCTGCCAGACCAACCCTGCTGTTTGTTGGCTGGCACATGGAAATGTGCTCCTTCTCAAGAAAGTCAATTTTGAGGGTTTCCTTCAAAAAATAACACAAACAAAAGACAAGTTCCAACGCCCAAGGGCATCGGAGGACAAGCACTCCTCGGGCCTCGAACTCACAGAAACTTGCAGGGAGCAAGCGTGTTGGATTTGTTTTAAGGGGCCCAGCACGTGCTCGACAACAAAGTCCAAGCGTTGCTGTTGCACCAGAGATCTGTGGCCAAAGACCCTGTTCAAGACATAAATCGTTTTCAGGGAGGCGGCCTTCAACTGACTGCCCGGTTGATGTTTGGGGCCCGGAAACTCTAAATTAAAAGGTTCTGCCAAGGGCTTTTCTCAAAAATACGGGCACCGAAGAAGGACAGTCCCATTTGGAGCAACCAAAGCCACTTGCCCTGGCACTCCTGCGGAGTTCCTGATAAAGGAATTGGGTTTTCCTTCTGGTTTCCCTGTAACACTGACCCGCAAAGGGGTACGACCCCCAAAACTGGATTTCGAGCCACCCATTTTGAGGTTTGTTTAACCCCGGTTTGGTGTATTTTTCAGGAAAGCAACAAGAAACCAAGCCTCCAATTATCAAAAAAACAGCTAGGACCCAAAGCCCCCAAGTTAAAGCCACCTTGTTGGAATGCATCCACGGCACGATCCAGCGCTCCAGCAGCAAGCGCTGCGCCTGCGAGAAGTGGCGCTTGATCATCTCGTGCCGCTCCTCGCGTGGGGCTTTTCGGGGCGAGAATCCAGCGGTCTGCCCGTTTTCAGATCCCCCACAAAAAGTTGAAAACTTTTAGTGGGTTACATGGGAACGTTTTAGTAGGTTGAATGGACACTTTTAGTAGGTTGAATGGAAACTACACACTAAACACTAAAAAGCTCAAAGGCTAAGGAACCGGATGGCTGGCAGCCACCAAGAAAATCCATCCGTCTGCAAACACAAATAATTAAACAAACAAACAAACAAACAAACAAACAAAACAAACAAACAAACAAACAAGTTTAAACAAACAAATACACAAACAAAACAAAACAAAACAAAACAAAACAAACAAACAAACCAACCTCCATCAAGACTGGAGAAATTGCTTGGGGGGCCCATATTTTCTTTCCGGGAAAACCTGAGAGGTTGGTGCTAGTTTGATGTTGGTGACACCATTTGGCCAATTTTTAGACGATCTAAACATGGATTTCTGGTGTTGGAGGTCGGTTGGAACAGTTTCAAAATCAATGTCGTTTGGACAATCAATCCGACACAGTGCTTTTGGAAACTATCCAACCCATACTGAGAAACACACCACCACCAAACATGGATGCCGCTTTCCGTGACAGCGTTTAGTGGTTGATTCCTATGCCTACGTTGTTTGAGGGAACAAGGGCAACACCAAGGATGACTCGACGCTCCAAGAGCTGCTGAGTCCCCTAAGGGTTTGCGCGCTTGATTGATTCATTAATCCTCTTGTTTTTGTTCGAATTCAAATCACCCGTAAACAGGTGGCGCTCACCTCTCGGACAAACCTGGCCGTTATTTGTGTGTAAAGCTGGGTATGGATGTGTCTTTGTGTTTAGGCCCCCCCCCCCCCCCCGGTGCAATGGTGGTTTCATTTTGGTTTCCCCTGAAAGCCAACCAAAAACGAGCTATTCGAATCAAATCATCAAGATCGGGTCCCAAAAGAAAGGGAGCGCCCAAATCTGCTCCTTTTCTCGCAATCTCAACCCATCAACAATAGGCCAACTTGATGCTTGAAAAGGAACATTGCAAACCGAAAAGGCAAAGCTTGAAAATGGCCCGCTAAGCCTGGCAATGTAGGCGCCTCCTACGGACAACCGATACCCGCTGGCAAGTTTGACCTCACAAAAAGTCACCTCGGCGCGGCTGACAATCCACCAACCTGAAATGAATTTCCAAGTAAGAAACCTCCATGGGCAGCTAAGTTTGTTTCACCCCGGCAGGCTAGCACCACATACCCATCCGGGTATGCGTTGAAATTTGGGAAGCCAGTGATGGCTTCCCTTTTGGTTTCCCTCAAGACCTACCAGTGACGGATACCCAGTTGCCCAAAGGGTCCGCAAATACATAGCCGTTTACGGCCATGACTCAAGATGGACCAAAAAGGGGAAACTAAAGGGTCAAAACAGGCGAATTCGCGGACAAATGAGGTTACTCTTGCAAAAGCACGCCCATCCCTCCCGTCCTCCCGTGGAAGCTGCCCCAGCCAGCGTTGAACCGTCGCCTCTACGGGCTCGTGCTTGAACTTCTTCGGGGCCTTCCGCTTTGGGCCCTCCTGCGTCAATGCAAAAGTAGGCATTGCATCCTGTGCATCGCAAAGAAGGCGCGTAACCCAGGGAGCCACCCAAAAAGAAAGGAACATGTTTGGTTACCTACCGCACTTGAAAAGACCAAAGGAAACTTGCTAGCTGCTATACGTAGTGGGGACTCGGAATCCCTGGATTAGACTAATTATTCTGTCATAAAAATGTGTGTTGGGAGAATTTGGAGAACGCAGTGATGATGAACCTGTCAGTCCTCACATCCGGCCAACTGCTCGAAGGCTGTGCGGACCAAATGCCATGCCTCCTCAGGTGCCCGGAACTAGAGCGGACGCGTGATTTTCCGCAGAAAAAGGGGGAAGACCTCGAACCTGCAGCTCGCAAATCCACGCTGGCTTCGCCGTATTCGCGTTTTGAGTGTCACCGACATTCAGACTTTGCACTGCGGGTGGCCAGCAAACAAGTGAGCCGCAAACAGGCCGCGACGAAGAACTGACCTAGATGCTCCCAATGCAACCTAGGCAACAGCAGCATTAGAAGCAGAAATCTCAGCAGTCGCAACAATCGCGACAAGTGGCTGTGACTATCAATCCCATCCATAGGCTCTTGCGTGCAAGAAGCCACTGGGCCACAAAAGCCCTGTCAGCGTCGGGCTCGCGCAAAAGCTCCGTTGTGAGGTGCGCATGTGCATAGGTTCTGGGCTGGGTTTGGTGTATTTCGAGGATGTGCTCGCGATGAGGCGCCGTGCGAGCTCCGAATCATTTGGTTGGTGCACCCTGCGGACTTTGGGTGTGCTGTGTGTGTGTGTGTGTTGGATCGCTCTCGCTGTGGTGCAGTGCAAATTTTGAACGTTGCGAGTGAAACCTCGCGGACTTTGGGTGGGTCGGATCGCTCTCGCTAGTGCGAGTTTTGAACATTGAGAGTCTCTGCGGGCTTTGGGTGGGTCGGGTCGCTCTGGCGGCGGCACAGTGCGAATTTGGACATCAAACGTGAACCCCCTGCGGACTTTCGGTTGGCCAGAACGTTCTGGCTGTGGCGGGTCGGGGCCCTCTCCTTGTGAGGCGGTGCGAATTTTGAACATTGAAAGGTAACCGTCTGCGGACTTTGGGTGGCATCACTCTCGCTGTGGCGCGGTGCTTGCAAACAAGGAAGTACAGGACCTGCAACGATACTCTTGCAAGAGATCTTGTAGAGCTTGCCACACAACTTCAACATAATATAGATGCTCTCACGGGGTGAAGAGATCATGTCCCGAGATTCTGCTCACAGATCTTGCCAATACTATCAAGAGATCTTGCGCAGAGATCCGGAAAATCCTCCCAACGATGTCTTGCGCTGGTCCTTCACAGGGTCCTTTAAAGAGCTCTTGCGCGGGACCTCGAAAGATTCCCTCCCAGTGATTTGTAGAGGATGCTCCCTACAGATCTTGTTCAGAAGTTGTATATACATGACCCTGTCATGAATCCTGTGCACAAACCTGCCAAGAGACCCTGCCCTCTACCCAGACATCTTGCACAGAGATCTTGCAAAGATCCTGTGAAGATCCCCCCATAGACGTTTTGCACTGGTCCCTCGAAGGAGTTCATCCTCTTAAGGGGTCTGGCAGACCCTCTCAAGGATTCTGTGCACAAGTCTTACCAACAGATCCTACCAAGAGGTTCTGTCCAGAGAGTGGTCCTTCTAGAGATCCTCCCAAGAAGTCTTACGCAGGGCGTGCAAATGATTCTTTTCGGTCTTGTACAGGCATCACCCGTCATATATTGAAGATACCATTAACTTTCTATTTTGATGCCTGAGCCAACACTGTTTGGGGTCTCTTGCCAGTGTAATTGTTGTTTTTGCTCCTGGTGCGAACTGTTTGTGGTTTGAAGCATGGTTCTGCCTTTTGATCGACGCCCTCAGCGTCAGGTCTAGAGATGGTCTAGGAATGTTAGGGCGAGTTTGGGTAGGCTTAGGGTATCTTAAAGGTAGGTTTGGTTTTTGGCTTTCTTTTTTCTAGGCAGGTGTAGGCTTAATCGGTGTGGCTGCTCTCTGCGGTGTCAAGATCAACCACACGCGAATTCTCAAATTCACAACCTTGGAACTCACAAGGGGCACAGCTTCAGGGCGGCATGCATCAAGACAATCAATACGCCTGCGACGCGTTGTGCAATTTTCAGCGTGTGCAAACAGTAAGAAGGTGTGCTGGGCCGCGTTTCAGCTTGGAAGGCTGAAGTGCGCATGGAGTTCTCATGTGCGCATATTCCCCTCCATGTTTGCTATGTGTCCTGTCTATCACTCTTATTCAGGCCTGGGGCCACTGGGCGTGCCGCTGATCTACACACTAGCGTCGGATTCTGGGCAGGCATGAGGTTCGAGGTGGTGTGGGGGCAATGCTTATGATATGTCAAACAACCACGCAACCTGCGCCGTGCTGGTGGTGCTGTGACGCAGGACTTGCCGATGCTTCCTCGAAGGCAGCTGTTTGCAGAAGGGATGCTTCCAACAAATAGGCAGCACATCGATGGTGGAACCAAGAAATAAAGGCGGGTTTTCCTATTCTAGCAAGAATCATAATCCAAGTATCTACTAGTTGACATGAACCCCACCATTTGGGGACCAAGAAAGGCTGCGCAGCATGTGACTCATGTGTGCAGTTTCCCACAAAAGACATGTAACGTAGGAGAGTTGTCTTACAAAACACATGGTGCAAATCTGGTTGTTTGTTTCAGTAGTCACCAACAAAACGCACACCAAATGCATGCGAAGTCTTCTCCCAGCCGAATCGAGCTTGTGGGAATTGCCCATCATCGTGGAAAGAAGCTTTGATCGCCTTCTGGTTTCATATAAACGCCCCGTAAGGAACTGTACGGACTCGTTCCTTCTTGCTCGGGACAGCATTCCATTGTTAATTTACCCGAAAAACCCTTTTGGTACCCTGAGTGCCCTTGGAAGGTCCTGGGAGTTGTCCTTCAAACGGCGAGGGCGGAGAACCAAACACAAGAAATCGCGCCCTCTCCTGGCTGCCACCCTTGTCTGGATGAACCTGGCGCAAACGGGAACGCCGAATTGTCAGGGAATCGGGGAACAAACTTGCTACACTCCTACCGCTGGCTTCTTTTTGGGGAAGTTAAGAGAAAAGTCCCCGCAAGGCCCTGAGATGCAACATGGAATGGGGGTTCTGTCCTCATGAAATTGGCTCGGAAGCGGAAACCGCCTTACTGAGTGCTTCGATTTCCTGGTTGCGTTTGGCTTTTTGGAAGCAGCCAAATGTGGGCCCGGGCTCAATTTTCTTTCTGGCCGCAGTCATTGCAGAAGCCGCAGCCATCCAGCAAAAGATGGTCAGAATAGGATTCGGCTAAGGACCCATGTTTTCAACCCTGTCATGTTCAAGGCGCACATCCTCCTAAAGTCACACATGGGGTTGTCAGAAGACGGGTAGAAAGTTGGTCTAGGCCTCTGCTTGCGCCCCAACCCCCCCAACCCCCAGTCCACTCCGTGGTAGACAATCACTTCCGAACGCCAAACCCGGTCATGTCAAAATGATCACTTCCGAACGCAGGCGTCCCAGCCAAGGATCACTTCCGAACGCAGGCAGGCATCACAGTCAAGGTGTGCAAAATCTATTGGTTCTGGGGGGGTGGTGGGGGGGGGGGGATGGTAAGCCCACCCGCTCAACTGAACCAGCCCAGCCTGCTCTGTAACCGACTGTGCAAATTCATCTGGTTCTGGGGGTGGGGGGTGGGGTGGGGGACACGCGCTGAACAGCTTCATCCCAGCCAGGGTGTGAAAAATCAAATCAACTTTTCTGGGGCGGTGGGATGGTAAGAGCACCCGCCCAACTGAACCAGCCCAGCCTGCTCTGCAACCGAATGTGCAAATTTGGTGGGGTGGGTTGGGGTGGGTTGGGGGGGGGGGGCATGATAAGCACACCCGCTGAACTGCTTCATCCCAGCCAGGGTGTGCAAAATCGGGGGGGTGATAAGCACCCGCTCAACTGAACCAGCCCACTCTGTAACCAAATGTGCAAGTTCATCTGGTTCGGGGGTGGGGGGTGGGGGGTGGGGTGGGGGGGGCATGAACATGCGGTTTCCGAAGAAAACACCGGGTGGGTCCCTCCCTTTCTCCCCCAAAACAAACTGAGTTTCCCCAAACATACCCCAAACTTTGCTCTAGGTCCACGAGGGCAAGTCTCTGACACATGCCAAACGCCAGGCTCTGCAAGCTGCTATGAAAGCGCGTGGACGCATGGGTGCCGATTCTTGTCCCAGCGTTCAAGAGCGAAGCACTCGCCGGTGTCTCGCTGCAGCGCGTGGCATTTGGCTGCGCTCTCAGCGTTGCTAAGCGATTAGTACGTTTTCCGGCGTTCCGAAGCGATTTTTAGTCAGCGTTCCGAAGCGACGGTTTTCCCAGCGTTCAGGAGCAACACACTCACCCACTCCGTGGAATCCCCTGAAACAGGAACGACAAAAGAAGCCTTTGAGATCCATAATGTACATGCAGCACGCATGCAAGCACATATTTGCCTGTATGACATATACACAAACGTGTAATGATACTTCTAAAAACAACATGATGTTTTTCATTATATGGCTGTGGGTCGAAAATAGGTACCCCAAATGGGTTGCCCTGGCAAGTGGAAACATGGACCAACACCTGCGGTCCAATTCCTGGTGAATCATTTTGACCCATACCCATATTTACAATTATTCTACGCATTCTAGGGGTTGATTCCCCATTATTTTCAACCATCGTTCTTTTCAAAAACCAGCCGTTTGCCCTGTGATTTTGATGGTTTCCTGAAAAGAAGGATCCCTTACTCCTAGAATTGTACGAATATGTTGCAGCCGCAAGTCTCAATTGGTCTTCCAGAGGCCGCGCCTCAAGCGCTCGCTTCTTGAAGGCGCTCCGGATCTCCGACATGCCGGCGCCCGGCTGCACATTCCTCTGGGGGTGGCGTTGGGCGTGTCTCATAGGGGAGCCCCAAACTGCTTTGACCTTTGGCCTCAAAAACCACACACACACACATAGTTCCCTTCCAGCGTCGCCCCTTGAGGAAAACAGAACTCCTGTTGAGTTGACCAACACAGTGATGTCCAAAACAACCAAAACATATACGAGCCTCCCTGTAATGGCTCCAGAAGGCATGATAAGGATAGAAAGCTGATCGGACGAAACAATACTGAAACCATGGAGTCAGCGCCCTCCCTGCTTTTGGTATGATTCCAGAGTCCGTTGGTTGACAAGGGACGGAGAAAAGCCTGCGTGTACCAGGGAGGTCGCATCCTTTCCGTTCTTGCGCTCAATATTTAGGGAGCATCGAACATCAGCTGGATCCCACCGTTCCCTTAGTCTGCCTTGAGTGGTCGGCACCTTTGCTCAGGCTCTATAACCAACTACTCTATTCCCTTGAAGCTTCATTGGGAGGCTAAAGCAGGGTTGCTGGTCCAGTGATCATCTCACAGGGCTTCTGAATCCACGGGTTTGGGCCCTGAAAGCGGGCAGGACAACAATTATTGCGCTTGGCTTGTTTGGGCGAGGGGCGGAGGGGGGTATTCTTTGGGGGGGGGGTTGAAAGGGAGACCAAAAGTAACACGCTGCCGTTTTGTGGTCGCATGACACAGCCACTTGGTTTACCAAAACACGACGGCAACAGAATAGAGAAAAAGATTGGAGCTTCTTCACCTTGGCTTCAATTGAATTGCGCGTATCCATGGCCACTTTGAAGGCATAAGGTAGGCTGCAACCCATGGCTTTCCAAAGGGGAACTTTTGGTTTTACCCTCGCAAACACGGAACCTGAGCAAGTTTGCAAGGACCATTGCCCTCTGAAAGGGATGACTGGTGATGTTTGTGGAGGGTATTGAAGGGCTCCCAATTGAACCTGGGGGAAGCTCCAAAAGGGTGGGAGGCGAAGTCTTGAAACACCGAATTTCCACCCCCAGATCAAGCGTCAGCGCCGCATGGAAGGCTGCCATCTCTGTCGCCATCGCGGCGATGGGGCAATCGCGCCAATCGAACGAGGCGAGGTCCGCTTCGCACTTTGGCCGGCCGCTTGTCCCGGCTCAACAGCTGACTTGCGTGGCACTTGAGGCGTGCTATGCGCCACCTGGGCTTTAAAAAAGAGTTGTTGCCGGTGTGGTCAGTCACCGCAGTTTTTTTCGTGCGGCGTTGAACCGAGGCAAGTGGAATGAGAGCCCCGCCATGTGAGGGCTTTTGAACCGAGCCGCCTGAGCCGCAGCGGCAACAGTGAACTCCCTGATGCACGGGAAAAAGGCGTCCGAGAGGAAGACCCCCCTGTTAGTCTCCATGTGCAAGTGGGTACCCGCAAACTAAACCTCCGACCAAATCCGGGGGGGAGAGGGGTGCTTTGCTAAGCTCAGAACACCCCCATCTCTTTGGATCCAACTGACATCCGGAATGGGTTTTGGCGTCCAGTGCGCAAACAAAACACGCCAACAGACCTCCCAAAATGGTCTGTGTCCTTCTGGCTTGCCTTCCAAACCCGAAGGGGGGTCCCGCCACAAAGAGCCACCCCCACCTCCCGAAGTGCCTCTGGCCCCAAGAACGGAAGATCTGCGTTGGGCTCCGCACTCACTTGCCCCTGGCAGATCGAGGCACCCCAAGCGCGCCACTTGATCTGTCAACACCCCCAGCGATTTGACTGGGTTGCTCAGAAGCAAAGTTATAAGGTCCCGAACAGGGTCCGGAAACCACATTCGTTCCAGACCATTGTTCCAGACCTTCGTTCAAGACCCTGCCTAGAAACATGTTCCAGACCTTCCGTTCCAAAGCCGCTTCACAACGATCAAATAAAAACTGTTCCTAACATCAGCAACCTCCAACAAACCAAGTAAACACATCCTGGATTTGTGGCTGGTTTCGGCAAAAGGCAAGTGAACAGAAAAGGGGAGACTGCAAACGCAAGCTTCTGGCAACCAATCGGCCTGAATCGCAGTAAAGCCCTATACACGCACGATCTCCCTTTTGGTGACCCACACTCCCAGAGAATGTCTAGTAAGGGTCCATTCATTGGGGGGCCTGATGCATTTTAAGCGGTGGGCTAGGCTTGGCTGAAAACAAGACGGTGGGGTATGCTTGGCGGAAAGCAAGAACCAGAGGACGTCTTGAGACTCATGCCATCCCATCATGAGACACACCTGTATACTGTTGGTCAACCCCATCGAGAACTGGAGAACTTGTCTTTGAGAGTCCTTGGGGTCAACTCAAGTTGCCCAACTCCTGTAGGGGTCAATCATGCCGATCTTGAAGGCATGCCAAATCGTAGCAGTGGAAACAACTCGTAGCTCCTGAAATCCAAGCAGTTGAAAATGATCCCCACGCAGCTCAACATGTACCGCACTACCAGTGGCCTGCCTGGCTTTAAAGGTGACCCTCTCTCCAGTGTGATATCACGCAGTTGTCTTCCGTGGCAAGTACACCATGACATCCCTGCCGAGCATACGTTGGATGGCCAGATCATCCCCCCACGCATGCGCCAACCGCCGGTATTTGAGCTCCGCATCTTGGCTTCGGGCGCTGCTGAATTGGATTTCCAACTTTGGCTTGACAAATGCAGATGTCAGAATCAGAGTCTCACCCTTGCAGCATTCATGCTTCCAGTGCAGCTACTCTAGAAGGCAACCTTAAAAAACCAATGTTTGACTCGCTTCCTCAGTGGGTTGGGCCATGTCTTTTTTTCCACTGAAACAGTCTTCCTAAAGTCCATGAACTCAAGAGGTGAGTCAAAAACAAAGTCTGCATACCAGATGGCCCACCGTCATTGTAAATTGCAGCCCATCTTTTCAGGCCACACCCCGAATCCAACGTCCAGGCCGGATTTCAACTTGAGGTGAGCCTTGAGATCTCCGAACGCTTGGACAGCCAGTCCTTCTTGAGTTTCGGTCATGTGAAACCGCAATGGGAACGCAGGATTTACCATCGGCTGATTAACACTAGGTCCTCCAGTAGAGAGGTTAGATAAGGGTGCCCATTTTTTTCTGTAGTCTACTTTAGTAGAGGAACCTTCCCCCAAAAAAGGGTAAAAGGGCACCACCGGGGGACCTAGAATAGGAAGGGCATCCCATCTTGGGGATCCGTTTTTTGTTGTGGGGAACCACCTCCCTCATGATCCAGCAGACTGATTGATCCGGGGTGGACATGATCTGTCTAAACTGATCAAGCAAGCTACCCGTCGCAACCTCAAACCACCAACCACCGAGTCTGGAGCTATTAAAGCGACATCCTTATTGCCTTGCAAGTTGTGGTGAGGCAAACCATGTGGATACTTGAGAACCCTTCAACCTGTTCAAAGCACCCTGAAACGCTAGTTCTAGGCAGAGCCTTGAAACGATTTGCTAATTCTCAGCAATTAGGACATTAGAGTTTTGCGAATGAACTCCTGCATGGCAGTCAAAGGGAACCACCAGCTGGATGGTTCAGTTTGGGGTCATTCAGCTGCTCACTTCCGGGCCAAAACATGTCCCAACTTTTCTTGTTAGCCAGTAAAATGGTCACAAACCAAAAGTGACTAGTCATTCAGCTGCTCACTCCCGGGCCTAAAACATGTCCGATTTGTTTTTTTTTGGCCACTGAAATGGTCGCACGAGTCACTAAAGTCCAGGACCTCGGGAACTCAGAGAGTGATCTCCAGCGACTTCCCGACGTCCGCGCCTCCAGTCGGCTGTCGCTTCGCTGGACAGGACCCGCCGGTGCAGGGGCTGCTGCCAATTGCTGGCCCTGGGCGGAACAAGGATCAGGCCGACATGGAAGCAAGCTTGCTGGTTCTCAGCAGAGAATGAGTTGGAATGACTCCTATAAACCATCTTCTATGGCTTCCCTTAAAGGAATCCCTAGGTTCATTCCCAACACCCTTGGTCATTCCCTACTGAGCACCATCAAGCAAGGAAAAACAGTCTACCCTTCCTCCCACTAACATGGCACCTGTGGGTGGGAAGCTGGAAGATCAGTTTCCTCTTAGCAGACAGACCAGACAAACACCTTGTCAGATGGCAACGTGGGAGAGAGGGTAAGCAAAGGGAGGACTATTTAGAAAAAAAGAACGGCCAAGTCTTATGCATGTCTACCGGGAGAAAATACAGTCACAGCGAATAAATAATCTGACAGAAAGTGATGCATACGAGCCTCAGCCTGACTGAAAGAAAAACATAAATAGGAAGGACACGGATGTAAAACAAGCGCAAGGTAGCGAAGAAAGGGATGTGTACGAGCCTACAGAATAGATATGCATAGTCAACCGAAAAGAAAGGGATGAGAATTCAACAAGTTCCAAACAAAGTAAAGCAATGCTACATCACGAAGAAGTGGATGTTAGCCAAACATCAAAAATAAGAAGTGTCCATCAACCGAGTCCTTCTAGTTTCCTTTGCAGAAAGCAAGGACGCCATATTCGAACTAGAGGCATAAAGCCCGCTTGGAATGCTGAAGCCATTCTTGAAGTGACCTGCTTTCGACTCCTGGAAGCCTCTAGGCTCAAGGAATTTCAAGATCGAAGAGAATCCGCCGGGTCCCAATGGTTCCCCAGGGTGCCCGTTCCCCCAGCAAAAGTTTAAGAAGACCATGCTGAAGGGAGGGGACAAGGGGGTGGTCCATGAAGAGCCGGATTGGGTGCGGTATCGATCGGGTTCGAACAAACAGTGGCGTGCACCGAGCAATTAAGAAGCGAACATGATTGATAAGCAAAAGCTTGAACACAGCCTTTCCAAACAAGTGTTGTTCAACACCACACACAACGTCTTACCCCTGTTTTCGCGGTTTCAAAGGGAAACCTTACAGGAAATCCCTCAAATATTTTTGGGGGTCCGCTACGGACAGACAAACACAATTTTTATGTTTATTTATTTGTTTTTGGGGGGGGGTCGCAAAAAAAAGGCCACACCCGTTTAGAGACCAACGTCCCAAACCTTACAGGAAATCCCTAGTTGGGGGGGGGTCCGCTAACAACAGAAACACACCCATTTAGAGACCAACCCCGCGTCCCATTGCAGCGAATCCCCCAGGCGGCCTCCAAGCTGCGGCTGGAGCGCCGCGCCAGCGGCTGCGAGCCCGTGCCGCTTGGGGCCTGCGCGCTGAAGCCGCCGTTGCGGCGGTTTTTTTGCCACATCTAGGTCCTCCAGTAGAGAGGTTATTAGGGTTTAGGGTACCATCTTTTCTCTTTTTGGCCGATTTTGGTAGGGGAACCCTCCCCCCCAAAAAGGGTTAAAGGGGCACTACTGGGAGACCCAGACATGCAGGGAAGCCGCTACAAAGGATTGCCCCATCCAATTTCTTGAGAAGGCCCATTTTGAAGTACCACCATCTCCGGGGTTGAGGTGAATCCCTAATTTTTCTGTGGGGAAAGCACTAAAAAGAACCCCTTTTGTGGCCCAAGGTAAGGATTCGGGGATTGCCGTTGCTTCCCCAAGAGAACATGGGAAACTTCGTATATCAGTCGGGTTTCGTGGGACATCTGGCGCGCTTGCTGTTGGTTTCCCTAACCCCAAAAAAGGTGCCCTAAGAACACACAGCCACTTGGGTCCAAGTCAGATTGGGAATTTCAAGGGGCACTTCAAAGGGATCTGCAAAAGGGATGTCTTTGTTGGAGAGTTTGGTCACAAGCCCCTTCTGGTCCCTTGGAATGCTTCAAGGTGTTCACCCCCCTCAGTAAATTATGGTTCAAGTTAGGACAGGTAGGTCATGCTTGCGTGTTCATAAGAAATTAGTGTGGTGAATAATTACTTCTGGCTGTGCTCCAATGACCGCGGGGTGGAAAAAACATGGCCAAGGATGCCAGGAAGTCCTTTGTCTTGTCAGTTTTCCGCCTGGCCGTTGTTGTTGATCGGAGCACCCCGGAGGTGTCCTTACCTATGTCAGGAACTTTGAACCCCCATTCAGTACAGCCATGAATGCGACGGGTTGGTGGTCCCTGAGGATACTTGGGTGCTCAAGTGATGGCTATCAATGGTCTCTCTTTTTCTGCGCGACATCTTTGTTGCGAGCATGGCTGGTTCTTCATGGCCCCCCATAGTCACTTTTGGGTTCCCATGGCACCCCAGGCAAAGCTTCCATCCAACGAAAGTTGCCTTGAACATTGTGTGTGCGCGTCTTTTTTCAGGGTACCCCTTTTTGGCTTCAACGAGAAACCAAAAAGGAAAACCGGAAACCAGCTTTGGGATGCGAGGAAAAACAACAAAAACACACAGATTTACTAAAAGTCTGGCTTTGGACGGGTCATCAAACTCAGATCTGCTCTTTTCCCACGGCTCGCAAAAATCTGCGGATCCGATACGGCCGGCCCACTGAGGACCTTCGGATCTTCGACCCACGTCGATCGGGAAAAAAACCTCGGTGAAGGCCTCGCCCTTGTTGAGGTCCAAGTTGAAGACCTTTGTGCCTTCCTGCCAGGGAGGTGGGCGCGGAAAAGGTAAAGCATGACCCATCCCTTTTTGGTCTCCTGAAAAAAATACAAAACTGAACACCCATCTAGCACCCAAGTCAGGGACTTTTGGCCGCCTTCCTGCCTGCGGGGCTTGTTTCGGCGCCCCGAAAACCAGTTCGGGGCCAGGGCCTCAGGCCCCTCCCTGGCCAACATCCTATCCTCTAAGACGGGGATCTCTCCAGGCGTTTCTCCAACCACAAGCCAAAAAGCTGGGCCGTCCGCGAGAACTTGCAGATTTGTCTAGAGATGATCCCGTGCTAAAAGTCATCCGTAGACCTCTAAACTCATCCGAACGTCCGAGGGTGGGGACAAAAACCAAGCAAAGTCAGGCAAATAATAGGAGCACCGGAGCAATAAACCCCTGATTCGTAGGGGGTGTCCCCTTGTATTAGTGGGAATTCTTCACGTTTGTGGGTGAGCGCCTGGAAACAAACAAATGGGCCCAGTACGACTCAGCGAACATGTTGTTCGTGGGTGTGGTCTTCAATGCTTTTGGGGAGGAACTTGTTTGTTGGGTTGTTTATTTGAAAGAAACCAAAAGAACGCCGCCCGAGAGACTGTCGGCATAGGTCGCCCTCCGGCGCCTCCTGGGTTCAAAACACCGAGGACGGTCATGGACCCCTTAATATTGACCCCAAATCTAAGTTGAACCCGCACTAAAGGAGACACCCCCAACTAATCAACCAGGGATTCATCAAGGGCCAAGCTGGCTGCCCATCACAGTTGACCCCTAGCCTCAAGGACAAAGGAACACTCCCTCTCCCAAACCACTCTTCTCAAAGAAGTTCCTTTTTTGGACGCCCAAGTGCTTTGCGGGCTTTTCGCTCCTTGAAAACTGGCTTCTCCTTTGACGGAAGCCGCAGCACTGCATCCTGCAAAACGAAAATCAATCGATCGGTCGGGGGGTTGCTTGGTGGACAGGTCCATTGGGCTTTTAGAGGTGCCTGCAAAATAATCTCTCCATGGTACCCGTACAGTTCCCCACTCCAGGCAAAGCGAGGTTTTTCTCTTTTTTGCCTCTCTCTATACATGATTGCCCTGCCCGCAAAGGGAAAATGTACCGGGATAGGCCTCCCCCCTTCCATACATTCCATGCTGCATGTTGCTAAACAAACATTTGCGCGTTGTATATTTGAGGGTATCTTTGGATAAACGCGCCAACGGGGCCATTTCCCAGGACATGTCTGGCAGTTGTGTCTTCTTGGTTGGCGCATGCCTCTCAGCACATCCGAGTTATCAGGCTGTTTTGTTTCTGCCTGCAAGGGACGCCCCCCGTTACGGGCTCTTTGAAGGTGCTGTTCATAATTTGTTAGCTTGCAACATCGTTTTGTGAGGTGGCATCCCAGCAGGCTTCTGAGCTGGGTCCTAAGTTCTCTCACAGCCACTACTTCAATCTACTTTACGATGATCCAGACAAAAAGGTGTCGTTTGCGCAATGAGCCAACAAACAGCAAGATAATTTGCAATTGGTGCATAATTGATCCATTGTAGAATCAATGAGTCATCATAAACCAACCTCAACAAACGCACAGCGCCCAAACTCATTGGATCTGCCAACATGTCACTAAGGCTTTTTAGGCCATAGGTATGCCATAGGTGTCCTTTCAAAAAGGATGATATCACTGCCTCGGTTGAAAAAACAAAACGAAGGTCGTAGCCCTACTTCCAAACAATATTCCGCATAAAACATGGTAGCCGCACCACCTACAACTCCCCCAAAAAACCGGGCGAAATGTCGGTCTGTGGCGCTCCCCAGCCTCTTCAATGCCAGCAATACCTCGTGTTCGGCTGTTGGCTTCCCTTTAAAGCCACAAAAAAGGGGTACCCTTAAAACAAGACAGGCCTAAGGACCTGCCCCCCCCTCCACCCCCACTGGAAAGCTCAATGCCTTCCGTTGCGGTGGGGAGGTTCTACTTGAAATGCAAACATGAATGAAAACCAGACACCTTCACAAGGCCTGGACATCATGAGGAAAAAAAAAAAAAACACATTTGCCCTTTTGATGGTCAACTCGTGAGACTAGGTACTTAGCTCCCCTTGAGGTGAGTACAGCTTGGTTGGTTTCCTTGTAAGAATGGATACGTCCTTCTTTCCAACAAAGTGAGCCTTCCCCTTGGTTCAATGACAAAACTCAAGTGGGTGAACGTGCTTTCAGGGCCGTCGGGCTTCCGAATCATTGAGCGCTGTACCCCAAAACTTGCAGATTGGGCCCCAATTTCGGACCAAAGGGGCACCCTTTGTGCTTTTCTTAAAAGAGGTCACGAAAGGGTCCTGAAAAACACATTCCATTTTGAACGACCCTCATACGGATGTGTCTTGAATCAAAGCCGAAGAAAAGTGGTCTTCCCGTTGGATTCCATGGAAAAAAAAAAACAAATCCGAAATGGGCCACGCAACTTGCACAAAAATGGTCCCTGGCGGGAAGTGGCCGTGCCGTGTTTTGGTATGAGTTCTTGCTATATTTATATGTATGTGTATATTTATATATGTATAGCTTGCACTAGCTTTTATGCTAAATATAAAAAATGGATACAATACAAGAAATAGGATTAAGAGTTTTCTAGCAAATGAACATAATAGGACAAAGCATGCGCTACAATGTAATCTCTACAAACACGGAAAAAGGTTGAAGACAGGGTCCCCAAGTCAAATGATTCAACCAGGTGCCCAAAAATGAGGGCTTCATTACGCCTTTGAGGCATGTCAACTCCAGCCCGAGTGACTCCAGTCTGGACAGCCCCAGATTTGTGGAAACCAACCTTGCGATGTGGGATTGTGGGATTCCCATCTTCAAGCCTGTGTCACTTTCAGATTTCAGGCGGATACCAGGGTGTCACAGAATGTGATATCTAAAGCCTTAGTGTAGATAGACAGAAACCACTTCGCACCAGTTGTGGATGAAACCCCTGGACATGGGATAAAATTAAGCCACTTGCCAGCTTGTGCGCAGTCGATTTTGTCCTTGGAATCCCTTCTAATAAAGTGGGAGCCAACACTTTGACCACACGGTGCCGATGTTCCACATGCTGATTGCACGAAAAGGCATGCCCATGCAGCCCTCATTTCAGGTTCCTTGGTTTGGATTGGGTTGGGATTTCATGCTTGGAAAGCTACCCCTCCAGGGGTACCTTCCCCATTCTTTCCAGGGATCCGGATCTTTGTGGAAGGCCTCCTTTGAAACCAAGGGAAAGCGGATCCAGGTTGATGGTTGAGAAGAATGGAAAAGGCATCAACCCCTAGAACCCCATGCAGCCCTCATGATTGGGTTGGGGATTTCAACACTTTTTTTCTTGTTGAGGGTGCTTGGATGCCTGGCCCCCAACCTCCAAACCACCCATTCAAATCACCCATCGGGAACTGACCGTTGCTTTCGCCCAGTGGCAGCCGTTGATGCTCACCGGCCGCTCCCGCCTGAAGCTTCGTGAGCTAAGAATCCAAGCGGGTTCGGAAGAAAAAAAATTGCCAGCGCCGTAGATTATCTGTCTATGAAAAAATGTGTGTAGATACAAATGTGGAGATGCATCTCTATATATTTATGTATATATATATATGTGTATATCTATATATATATATATAAGTATGTCTATGTATATTGCTTCGTTGGTCCCTTGCTTCAGGTTGAACTTTTGGCAAGGGATATGTAATTCCTTCCAAACTGTAAACATGGAAAGGTCTAGACTGTGGCTGGACACGCCAAGTGATCCGCTTAGCACCCGCACAAAAAAAGATGTTAACCCTCCCCCCCCCCCCCCCCCCCTCCCCTCCCGCCTAAAGACGTTTGATCTTGAAAAAGGCCCAATAATGCTATGTGTAAATCTCAAAAAAGAGACACATAAGGGACCCGCGAGCCACCATGTGGGTGTCCTAAACTGGGTACTGCTTCCTTTTGGGTTGATGTTCAAAGCGGGTACCAAAGCAGCAACAAGAAGCCATTGAAAAAGCAAACAGTGTTGGGAAATTCAACTGGCAACCATAATTCTGATTGCAACCAGGAGCCATGTACAAACCAAAGCTAAAAATCAAGCCGGTAAGCTTGAGGATGAGCAGGAACTACTTCCAGACCCTTCTTCGGAGCAAGTCTTCCTTCTTGCCGGGTCTCAGCGGTGTTGCATTTGCCCGAGAGATGCGCCTTCTCGGGCTCGACAGATACGGTGAGGAACATCTCCAAATAAGAAAGAAATCCACAGAACATGGGTGTGATTAAAACGTTGTTAGCATGTCAATGTGCAATGCGGTTTCATCTTCTGTGCCTCAGGAGAATCCCTTGCAGGCAACCCCTTTTCAGGTTACTCCCCCTACACATTAACCTGGAACCCAGAAAGCCATCAGATTTCGTTCGGAATCCTTTTTTGGGGGACCCCTTGAAGCCTTGAGCAATCGCAGGAGAGTAACCTCTATCGTTTGGTGTAAACCCGAAGTTCAAAGCTTGGTTGCTGGCCAGACCCTGGAAACAAGTGACCTTTTTGTTTTGTTTTTTTGTAAAAAAAACAAAAAAACAAAAAAACTAAAACTTCTGGGTCCAATACGAACAAACCGATCTCTTTCAACCAACAAGCCAACGTCCAAAGCTCCAGCCGAGGCCGGCACACCATGGCTCGATCCCAGGGCGCAGGCCTCTAGGCTCGATCGGCGCTCGAAAGGGCAGGTGGCCTTCCCGACGCTTCCGTGAAACCCAGAAAGGAACCATCAAACAAACAAACAAACAGACAAAAAAAGCAAAACAAACAAACCAACCAAAACAAACAAACAAACAAACAAGCAAACAAACAAACAAACACTCCAGGTATAACTACCAACATTGGACCCACTTGGAGGTTGAAGGTGGGTAAATGGCAAATATACGCATACCATGGAGTGTTTGGGGAGTTGTGTTTCGCTTTTAGCCTCATGAACGATGGTTGTTTCCGGTTCCCGAAGTTTGTGACATTTTACAGTCCCCCAAACTGGCAAGCCAATCGCAGTCCAGTCATTGCCTTCATTGCGGGCCAGAAACACTGAATATGGGGGTGCTTTTTTAAGGGGACGACCCCCCCCAAAAAAAAGAAGAGAGTCCTTTCGGTCTCTCTCAAACCAACCAAGAAAGGGATCCCCAAAAAAACAAACCATATCAGACTGCTTGCTCTGTATCATTTGTACTCGCAACCCACACAAGGCTCGACTCCGACAGCTGAGACCATCGTGTTTGACACAGCCACATGTGTGGACTGCCTGTTAATTTTTGAGGAAAATCAGGGGCCGTAATTAGTCCTTACATAAACGACTTGCATCATGGTAAGCTCGCTTTCTCCAGGTAAGCTCGAAACCCATTGGCAGACTAAATGACGGGGTCCGTTCTAAGGGTGACACATTTCTTGTCACGCTCATGCCGAACCATCCACGCGTCAGGCCATGTTCATCCCGAAGTTCCTTGGCTGAAGACTTGAAGTTCCTTGGCTTCGAGTATGATGGCTTGGGGGCGGGGGGGTGATCAAAGGGTTGGTCGTAGTTGCCAGGGTTTACAGGGTGGGGGTGTGAACTAGGGCAGCCACTTGGCTGTGCGCCAAACTATAGCGCAAACAAATGCTTCTGCTTTCTTTGGGTTGCCTTTACACTAGGGAAAAAATACCTGGCACGTCACGGTGCACGGTTGGCGCATCACCACCGTGATACGCCAAGTATTTCCCCTAGAGTAAAAACCGGACAAACGGTTGCGGGGCGTCGCCTGAAAAAGCTGGACAAACCGTTCCACGAGCCTCAAGTTCCATGGATTTCCATCTTTCGCTGAGCTTCCCAGCCCCAGGGACAGGTGGTGCCAGAACTCCCGGCCGTCGGGGCCTTCGACGTGAACGGATCTGTGCCTTCCCTGGCTGTCTTTCTTAAGCCTATCCTTTCTTTGTGGCAAAGGGAAACCACAAGGAGAACACAATTTTGGGGGGTGCAAAACCGCCAAAACCCCCAAAATCAAATTCAGGGTCACCTGAAAGTTTGTTGCAGAAAAGAACGTGTTTTGTGATAAGCGATATAACATTGCCATCACTGCTTCACGTATGCGTTGAACTATCACAGAAATTGGCCCAAGCCCGATCTTCACTAACTCTTTGGACCGTGGGATCTGTAGGTTGCCGCCAAATATCCACCTCTGGATTGCCAGAGTGTACCATCGCGTCCAACTACTTCGAAAACCGTTGGGGAGAGGCAGTTAATAGGGGGCTGTGACAATCAATCTCTATCTATATATATATATATCTATGTTCCAGGCCGTGGACCCCCCCCCCTCCCCCCCCCAACCCCCCCCCCCCTGTGGGGGTGGGTGGTGGGGTGGTGGGGTGGTGGGGTGGTTGGTTGGTTGGGTGGTTGGGGTGTGGTTCGGAGTTGGTTTAGGCTTGGTGGGTTGGTTTAGGGTTGGTTCAGGGTTGGTTCAGGGTTGGTTCAGGGTTGGTTCAGGGTTGGTTCAGGGTTGGTTTGCGGTGGGTTTCGGGTGGTTTAGGGTAGGATGTTGCGAGAGGTGCGGGGGTGTTGGCTCACGGGGTGAAAGGGGGAGTCTGGGACCGAAGCTGCAGGGCTCACACGGTACTGGACAGCATCCCCAGCATTGCCAGCATCATCCCCAAGATGCGGATGATGCGGGGGAGTGGGGGGACCATACCATTGGGGGGGGGGGGGTACGTGGCGCAGGGACTGGTACATATATACAGAAATGGGTGTGCACCAACTTAGGACAGTGGTGGCGGTTTTGCTTTTGGCGCCCCTTTGTTTCATTGAAAGCCCACAAACAAGGGGCACACTCAAAAAACCTCGCATCCACACATCTACGTCTTTTGACAGGCTTTCAGGAAGTCTTGGCCACGGAACCTGGGGAAATGCACCACAGCACGTGCTCCGCCTTCTTTTTTGTTTGGGGGGGATTGTTGAACAACACCCATTCTGTTACCACCCTCCACTAGGTCCTCCAGAGAGGTTAGAATAAGGGTACCCCTGTTTTTGTTTGTTCTTTTTTTTTCCGTAGTCTATTTTAGTAGGGAAACCCTCCCGCCAAAAAAAGGTGAAAGGGCACGATCCTGGGGGACCTAGTCTATCTAGGGGGGCCATGTATCTTGGCCAAACCCCAAGGTACACCATACAAAAACGTGTTTGATTCTGGTTCAACTTTACTCGCAGATGACTCAATATATGTGTGTGTGTGTGTCTTTTTGTTGGCCCCAAAATTGCAAGGTCCCTTGTGGTGTTCCTTTGTGAAGCCCACCGCAAAAAGATGTAAAATTACTCAGAAAGAAGAACCCATGTGGCTGTGGCTCAAAAATAGGTGCCCAGAATGGAGCCCTGGTAAATGGACACATGGACTAAAACCTGTGGTCCCCTGCTGGCTTAATTTCGACCCACACCCATATCGGAGAAGATGGCCGAGTTTGCAAAGAGAGAACCCCATGATACCCCATGCTCTCTCCGTTTCCCATGCCTGTGTGCTTCACCCAGCCCTCCGCTGGGAGGTCGGTAATCACAGGAGGCCTGGCGGCCAATTTCTGAAGCCAGGGCACCCCAAGTCCACTATACACCATTTATGAAACTATCTTCATTGCTTTCTGCGCCCCTGCTATTCCAAGGGCAGGCCATGCACTTCGACCCTCCACGCTTGCGAAGGGGATGCCCTTTTGTTGGACCCGTGTGACCCACTTTTAAAGAAGACATGCTGAACACCTCTCATACGGTTGGGAGCGTACACCCGAGCCGGGCTGAAAGGCCAACTGCACATGTCAGCCCTTCCAGGCAAGCTCCTACAGCGTAGCTTTGTAAAGCTAGGCCCTCCAGTAGAGAGGCTAGAATAAGGGTACCCTTTTTTCTGTAGTCTATTTTAGGAGGGGAACCCTCCCCCAAAAAAGGGTGCAAGGGCACTACTGGGGACCTAGAAAGCCAAGCTCTGCCCAGCTCAGCTCTGCCCAGCTCAGCTCTGAACAGCCCAGCTCTGCACAGCCTTCAAACTCTATCTCTTTCTTAGCTGGGAGTGGGTCTGGCGGGCCGGCTGAACCCTCTGCTGGGATCGCGCGTGGGCTCGTAACGCTTCCGGGCTAATCGGGATCTAGTTCTGGTGCCTTCTTTTGATGCTTGGTCTTAAAAGGAAGCCCCCCCCAAAACAAAAGGAGGAAAAGGACCAGGAAGCAACCCCCTGGAGCTCTGGATTCTTCGCCCAGGCCAAACAACCCAACCACGCCAGCCGCGCCCCAGCGCCAGCGGGGAGTCCCTGGCCGGCGTCAGCCGTGGGCTGAACAGAGGGGTCAAGCTGAATTCCTAGGTCATAGCCTAAATGGTCAGTGTCTTTTTGGTTTCCAAACCCCAGCGGTGGGTGCGCCAACGGTTGGGTGCGCCCAACGGTGGGTGCGCCCAAACCCCAACGGTAGGTGCACCCCATATGGAAAGGCAGCCAAGTTCGATGATTCGAGCTCGCAAGGAATTTAGTCCAGATAGTGAAACCCCGGAGGTACCGAAAAGATCTTTCAAAGGCGGGAGGAGTCACAACCTGACAGGGGTCGCCGGACATCGCCTTCAAAAGTTGATCAATGGACTGGTCGGTTCCACCAAAACCGCCTCCTTTGGGAGGTTCCAAAAAGGGAAATGATTTGAGGGGCCCCTCTTGATCCAAGGGAAACTGATCCCAGCACTGTTGAAATCCCCCTGGCATCTTCCCAGAAGGACACTGTGGGTGGAAAAACTTGTGAAATCCCCTAGTAGCTGTTCAAAGTGGTAGCTGTGGACAAATTCACAGCATGTATGTAACCCTATGAGTACTGGGATAGACCACTCACCAAGCGGTGCAGGAGTATGCCCATCCACAGTATGAGGGTCATGGCTCCTTGCCAGCCCTCAGAACGGCTGTCAAAATTGCAAACAGTTCATGACCATCCCCATTAAAGTCGCGTTTTACCTATGGCGCATATGTTGACTCGGAGCCATAGCAAGGGGAGTCAATGCAGCCTAATAATGACGCAAACAAACGCTCAGGAAAATAAGTTCAGGTGGTATCCCCAACAGCCCTGGACCCCCCTGCAACCCTCCGGAACCCTCCTGAAAGTTCCCCCAAACCGCCCCAAAGTTTTATCGGGGCAGAGACCCCATAGCTTGCAGCTGTTCACACATTTCCTTTGGTATACTACTTGAGGAGCGGGTGAACGAAAGCTAGCAGTTGTTGCATGAGATGGGTCGGTGACAGAGTGGATTCATAGGTAGCTTGTGCACAACGAGAGGCCCGGCAAGATTCGTAGGATGCGACACGCAAACGCACATGGTGGCGTGGCAAACCTTGAAAAATGAAAACAATTAGAGGCGTCAGAAGCTGTCTGAAAGCACCTCTGGGTTCTGCATGCTGCGTGTGCAAAGATCCTTGCGAGGTGGTTTACCGAGAAGACTGAGGTCTCAAATGAACAAGCTGAATCGGTGGAACATGTAAAAGTTCGTGCAAACCGAGACTGCTGAACACTGAGCCACTGCCCGAGGGGGGGGGAGGGGGGGGGGGGGGTCTAAATCATTGATGTTTTTCAATCTTTTCGGCTCAAATAATTGAAAAAATCAATCTTTCGGCATTTGAGCCCCTTACCTTGCTTACGCAAGGAGAAACTTCAGCTAGCTAAAGCTAGCTTTCGTGATTTGCCAGTGTGTCCCCCTACTTCCCACGTAAGTATAGCACCCCTGTCGGGGAACCCAAAATTGCTTTACCATAACATGGATCCTTCCATGGAAATAGAAGCACCCTTGATCTAGCCACGGTCAAAATGCTGGCTGGTGCTTGGAAACTTCCCGCTTCCCGGGTTCTGCGTGTGTGGTAAACTTGCCCATCCGTGCTCATCTACTTGTCCCCACATGACCATGCCAGATCCTGGTCCGAATCCAGGGCGGCTTAAATGTAGAGCTGCACAGTTGCCATTTCGGAAGAGTCCTGGAATTTAGCAGCCAATTGTCGAACCATCTGAGAGGCGTGAGAGAGGGCCCAGAGTTACTCGCCTTGAACAGACGCAAGGAATATCACCAGCGCCAGAACCTGTCTGCAACCTCTACCTCCGGACTCTGGCCCAAGGTCGCCCCAAAACCATGCGGCCGTAATTTCAGTTAGGCCGCGGGTGCGTGCACAGCTCTCGGTAGCCGCGGCCCACACCACAGTACCTGGCCAAGAGTCCGCTGGGTGGGACCAACCTCAAATGACATGGGTAGAAGGGTGGAAGATGTTTCTTCTCGGGCAATAGAGATGAAAACAGGGTGGAAGGTGTTCTTGTACAGGCAAGGCATTGCGGCCCCAGCCCAGAGGTGCTTTCTTTAGCTTTGATACTACCCTGGGAGCCCCCAGGCAAGGAAGCAAAGCGGGAAAAATCGATTGAGCAAAGCCAAAAACAATGGTTCTCCCAAAATCGTTAAAGGTTTATACGGGCGAGTCTTTTTTTGGAGCGTGGTGGGAAATACAGAGGAAACCAACCATTTGTTTTTGAGACACTGCATGTTTTTTGAAGAGAGGTGGTAGAACCGCCTGCTAGCATGGCCAATAGGGGCTTGGGTCGCTACTCAATTGGATCTCCAACTTTGGCTTGACAAATGCCGATGTCAAGCAGAATCAGAGTCTCACCCTTGCAGCATTCATGCTTGCAGCGCAGCTACTCTAGAAGGCAACCAAAAACATAATCAACTCACTTCCTGAGTGGGTTGGCCACTAGAAGGGTCTTCCCAAAAGTATAAAGTCCATGACCTCAAGAAGTGAATCAAAAACAAACATCATGACAACCAGGCCACCCACTTGACAAATAGAAGCCCGACGAAACTAGGGAGGCCTTCACGGATTTGGACTCCAGTGGCCATGGGAAAAAAAAAAAAAAAAACACTGAACACCCCTCTCTGGGTTAGTCAAAAGATTGGTACAGGCTGCCTGGAATCAAACTGGCCACCTCTGGAAGGACAAGATCCACTTCACAGCCCTGAAGCATCAAAAACTACACAGAAAGATTGAGGAAAAAGAAACAAGATATGCTGCTTGGGGATACTGGATGCACGAAATCCTGCACCGCCTAAGAAACTATGGGAAACCATTGTTTGCTGGTGTTTACAGGGGAGACATTATTCCAGACTTTCTTAGGTGGTGCAGGATTTGGTCCATCCGCCATATGGTTCTCGGGGATAGTTCTCTCGAAATCAGTGCGCCTTCAGGGTACTGATGGGTTCTTCAACTGGGGGTTTCCTCTCAAATGCGTGGGTACCAAGCCTACGAGCGTGGGGCACAGGTCCTCACCGTCACACTTGGCAGCCTCAGAGGCCGCCTCCACCCACCTGGCGTTGACTCCAACTTTGTGTGGGAAAAAAACAAGTCATCAACCACGAGTTGATTTTGGGCTGTGGCTAATAATTGATACAATATTCTGGCAGACAAACTTGTGTATATAATAAATACACAGTTATTTAAATATATGGGTTGCCACAAGTCAATATTGGGTTGCAATCACCCCCTCGCTTTCCGTTGGAATTTTGTAGGGTCCTGGTACCTGTTTTGCTCAGGGAAACTCGAAGGGAAACCCGAAGTTCACCATGCTGGGTTTCCGGGAGCTCTTCCGGTTCATCCGAGCACACGAAAACTCACCGAGCTTGGTGAGCGCTCCACCTCACCCGATTGGGAGCGAAGCATCGACCCAATCCCCGAAATCTGGTCGCGTCGCCGCTGTTCGGTGGCAAGATCTATCCCAGCATTCATGGAGTTTCGTCCATCCCAACTGGTGCCGATCAGAACGGATGTCCCGTTCAATGCCTATCATTCTTGCAGGAAACCGGGGCATTCTCCCTTGAGCTTCGTGGTGAAACAAGCTTCCTTGGATGCCAGTGGTGTTTTGTCGGAGTCCCATGGATGTCGCTTCTCATGAACTTTGCTCGGTTTCCCTTGGATACCACCAGTACCGTGGGAATTCCCCTTTAGCTTAGTGGGGTAAGTTTCCTTGTATTCCAGTGGGGTCGGTTTAAGCTGGATTCACGGAGTCTGGTAGATACAACTCGCACCCCACGTGGGGCCTCTGTCCCGAGCCGAAGCTTCGGACCAGCCTCACGGGTGCCGCGATGATCTGTCGGAACCTCGGGTCCGCATGTTGCTCGACCAATCAAAAGGCTTGGCGACCTAAAACAAGAGGACACGCTTTTCATGGGATGTATTTGAATTGAATAAGCTTGTTCAAGCATCGGCTTGAATAATAGAAACATTTCAGCTTGCTAAGCCTGATGATTTTCTGGGGGCGTGCCGCTTTAGAGGGATGCTTCACCTTTTGGGGAACACCTCTATTGATCTGCCGGGTTGAATCCGGGGTAGCACGATATCATGCTGATCTTTCTGCCGAGAATAGTGCAGCTACTGGGACGATGGGGGTTGTTACCACTCCTATCCATGCCAAGAGGAAGGCTGCTGAAGAACAACAAAGCCAAAAAACAGATCCATAACAGTGAAGTTGGGATGCCCTTGAAACCCTGATGGCTTTTTGGCCCGCTTGCATCGTGCATAAGTTCCCAAGTGAGTCATACATAGAATTCTTAAAATCCAAGGATCTTCGTCGCTGCTTTACATGGCCAGTTCAATGTGGTGAGAGCATCGGGAAGTACTTCCGGCCTGCCAATAGCCCCGATATTTAATGTGCAAAACGTCCCGAGGAGGGGAGGTGTTGAAGCCATTTGTGAAACTCAAAGAGTTCCCACCAGGTCCGAGCCTCCCAAACGGATGGACTGGAAATGTTGATCGAGCCTACGGGTGCGTCTGAAACTCCCCACGATAATGCCCCTAAGCACGGACACCCCCATATGGAGAGGCAGCTCGATGTAACTTGATCCCAAAGAGCTAGTCCAGATGCCGATGCCGAAACTCCAAGTGGGTACCCCAGATCTTTCAAAGGCGGGAGGAGTCACAACCGTCCGGTTGGAAAAGACGGTATCTAAAGCCAAATGACATGAGGTGGATTCCTCTTCAAAAGTTGATCAATGTACTGGTGATTTTTCCACTAAGACTGCCACTTTTGGAGGTTCCAAAAAAGGGAAATGGAGGCAAGCCTGAATGAGGATGTCTCAAAATAGGGGAACCCTCAAAAAAGCTGTGTGTCCTTTGGCTATCCTTGAATCAAACCTGAGAAAAGTACCCTCAAAACAGTCACAACCAAACGGGGCCGTGCATTTGGGCGACACGTCGCTTGAAGGCTACCAAATGTCCAAACCAACCAGAGAAAATAGCAATTCACAGGCTAGGCCACATTTCTCTCAAGGTGCAAGCAGACTTAGAGGGGGGAGGAGGAAGGGCAAATCCAGAAATTCCGGATTGCTTATTCTGCAGCACTTCCGCATTTTGTATCTTGGATTTGAAACCGGCGCTGTATGCTTGTTGCACGCAACCTGCTCATCTCCTTGTGTTTTTTTCCTCCGATAGATGGGGCCACGTCCGTGTTCGTAGTCCCCCATGGCATATTGGATACTGGTGAGTAAACTCTATCCCCTTTACGACTAGGGTCTCATCTGAGTAAAACAGTTGAGGAAGGTCTTCGGAAAGAGTGCTGAATCCGATGAAAAAGGGCACAACATCAACAAAAACATTGGTTGTGCAGATTGCCCTTTTTGGACCTTGGTGCCGATACGTGCCGCCTTTTGAAGTTGGGAGACCGAAAAGGCGCCGTAAATTTGACAACCCTCCACATAAAATTGACGCAAAATAGGGTTACCCCCAAAACGGATTTCAATGTTGCTCGTGGTGTCCTTTATAACAACTGTATTTTGGTTTTCCACCTGGTTTCCCTTTAGGGCAAACGCCAACATGGATCCGACACCAACTTCGCTTTGAGCGTAGCCATGCTCTCCAAGGTCTTCAACCCTGTGAAGTTCGAGGACTTGCTTCCAAGCGCATCCTCCACTCATGCCAAGTGGGACAGGGTTGTGGGATCAAGAGGTTTATCCAAACACTTCTGTGCAAGGAAATCCCATCTTTACTCGGTTGCTTGCTGCTCCCCTGCTAAAAGCTTAACTTTTAGCGGTTTAAAAGAAAACCCATTAGTTGGGAACAAGTTAAAGTCCTAACATCCAAGCAAAATGCAACGGGAGGCCCTTTTCGTTGTATCACAGAAGCGGTCGTTTCACTACAGCCGTGTTTTCAACCGGATGGTCGCCTTGGAAAGATTGGTTTCGGCATCACAGAAGTGGGACCGCAGCCCTGTTTCCATTTACCAGGGCAACCCATTTTGGGGAAACCCTATTTTTGACAACCACAGCCAAGTGGATTCCATTTCCCACAGCCCTGAAGTAGCACCACGTCGCTCCATCGCCCCTTTCTTTCGCGGCCGCGCGGCGGGTCGGCCACGCGGTCCACCAGCGGCCGCGAGGCGTGGGTGGCGCGCTGCAGCATCGCCTGCGGCGTGGGTTTGCTTTTTGGGTGAAAAAACCCGTTGGCTGTGGGTCAAAAATAGGTACTCAAAATGGAACCCTGGCAAATGGAAACGTGGACTAAAATCTGCGGTCCCCTGGTCATTTGGTCATTTAATATTGACCCACACCCAAGTGGATGCCACAGAAACCACCGGAGATGTGCCAGAAAACCACGTGGATGTCAACGTCAGCTACGTAGGTTATACAATGGGGACGATCACCCCAGTTATAACCATGGTTATAGCCTACGTACTTGACGTGCGTTGAGCATCCAGCAGGGGTTTGGGAGACTAGTTCGGAGAGCTTGGATAATTCTAAGTTCCTTCGATTGAGAGGGCAAAATGAGACGGCGCCTTACTTGAAGGCCGTTCAATACTTGGAATGGGGGTTCAACACCAACATTTGGTCATCGTTGGGGCAAACCGTGTTTTAGGGTATCTTGTTAACCCCATAAAAATGAAGATGCCATGGAACACCGTAGCTTGTTCAAACAAGACCTTGAAAAAGAAGGCACGTCAGGGGTGACCAACCCAGACCCCCAGTGGATTGCCAGCAGCGTTGGGTGATTTGAAAGGGAACGCAGAAGACGCCACAAGGGATCTGGGCTACATTTCCTCAGTTGATGCCCCTACCAATGAAAAGCTTGTCTTGACCACGCCAAACGGGCGGTTCCTCAATGAGGGGGCTTTGATGTCAGGGGGTGTTCGAAAGACCAGGTCACAAGCGCAAAAAGTTAGCCCCTGGAAGTCCAACGGCCAAATACAATGTTTCTACCCTAGTGATGTCAAACCTATGAACGGTTCACCGATAAGCGGCGACGAACCTGGGTGTGGAGAGCAGCAAGCAACAGGGTTCCATGAATCCAGGAATCGTACACACATTTCACCAAGCCACAAGAATCATATTAGGCCAAAGGCGGCCAAGCCATCCCTGTGAGACAACAAGGAGCTTGTCGCGTGGCTGATTTCCAACCCCCTTCCTATCTTCATTTGTTCGATTCAACGTCTTGAGCATCCCTGTCCAAGCTGATCAAACGCGAAACTACTTTTCGAAGGACACCTACCGTAGTGGCCTTTACTCTATACGCGGGTTGATCAATGATCAATATTCCGGTCGGCCCCCAAATGACAATAAGTATTGTTGTTCCCGTTTAGTGGAGAAAGTCGTGTCTTTTGTGGTAGTGTCCCTGATGGTCATCTCGTGTAGAGGACCTTTTCGTGAACCCCCATATTGGCGCCCTCATCATGAGTTTCCAGAGGGTGCTGAATCTGACGGGTGAGTCTGAGGGCACCAAAATCAAATATCCAGGCGACCCAATCGAAATGGGATTTTGGAGAGTCATCAGTGTTTCGCTGAGTGTCCCCCCACGCCATCCCCTTGACAAATGAACGCCATCCCCTTGACAAGTGATCAGATTCATATTGACTGTTCCAATCGACCCAGAGCGACAGTACTTTGGGGAAACCACCGTTTCCAATTTGGAGTGGATGACCAACTGGTAGCCAACTATGAACTGGAAGCTTGAGGGTGAAGTCGAAACCTGCATGTTCAGAAGCAACTCCCACATCCAATCCACCACGTCAGCTTTCCCATACTTTGTGACTTGACGTGGGTTGCAGGTTGGGTGCTCTGCCCTTCGGTGAAATCAAGCGCCACGGGCTCAGACCGCCGAAGGTTTGTGGGATTCACAGTCTGGCATAGCCCAGAAACCTCGCTCGCTTTGACCCAAAGATGAGCAGGACAAAATCGAAAACGAATACCAAGAACCGAAGAAGTACGGCTCCTCTTGCCGATTTTCTCTCTTCAGAAACCCCCGACCTGTGGATCCGCGTTCATGGTGAACTTGGCGAGGACGTGACCAGAGGCCTTGCCGAAACGGGGCAATTGGGGACAAGCCCAATAAAATCGGAGCACAATAAGGGGACAAGTCCGAGAGCATGTGGCAAACTAAGGAGATAAGTCCAAACTGTTGGCAAAATGTTTGGAGTAGACCAAGACAATTGGAAAAATTAGTGTGGGCAGAATAATGGGTTAAGTCCAAGACAACTTGACAATATAACGAGGTAAATCCACGAACATTTGGCAGCAAAGTATTGGATAAGTCCAAGAAATGTCGGGCAAAGTTAAATAAGGGGATAGATCCAAGAAAACTCAGCAATGAGTCCAAGACTACATCCAAGCCAATTTGGCAAGATAAGGGGATACGTTCAAGAAAACTTGGCAACATCTAGGGATAAGTCCAAGACAGCTTGGCACAAATGATCATCCAAGACAATTGGCAATAAATTGGCAACATACGTGGATGCCATGTAAATTGAGACAAATAGGGGGATAAGTGCAAGGGGCAACGCAAGGGGATAACTCAAACACCTAAACCTGCAAAATTGGGATGACTCCAAGAGTGGGAAATCGTGTGGCAACACTCAAGAATGCGATTCAAGGAATCAGTTGCTGTAGAAATCCTGAAGATTGGGCTCCTGGTTCTGAATCGTTCCTCACTTCCTGAGTGGATGGGCCAAAAAAAGTCCAAACTTCTTGTTAAGTTTACCACTAAAAGGGTCTTCTCAAGAAGCTTAAAGTCCAGGAACTCGGGGAGTGAGGTCCGCTTCTTTTCCCGGTGAAGAGTTCAAATCAGCCTTGCGGCCGTTTAAATGACTCAGCGACGCACACGCCGTGCCTGGCCCAGCACAAAGTTCCCGGGGCTTTCGTTGGAACCCCCAACGTGCGTGAGCCTGGGCCGGCCGAAAAGGCTTGGAACGCAGGCGCCATGTTTCGGGGGGTCCGACTCCGATTCGTGACACAGAGTGTGTCACAAAGAAAGGTGGCTTCCAACTGCAGTAAATAGTGCAAGTCAACCAACCACATCCAACCACAAAGCCATGGTAGAGCACAAACAATTAGAGGGCTTCCATTGTTCTCTTCTAATAAAATTTAGGGCACCAGTGGGGTCGCCCACTCAAAGACAAAAACGGACTGCTGCTTGGAAACAGGAAGCTGAGCCGTTTGCTCATTTAATTCGCCAATCCCTGCATCAGAAAGAGCAACACCCACAACTGGCAAAGGCCCAACACCATCCCGTACTGAATGTCTGAGGTATCTAATTGTGGACCCCCGTAGGCTTCGGTTTTCTCTCGGGTGCCCTCAAACAAATCCCGTCGGCGCCAGATTTGTAGTTGGAAGAACTGGCACATGATGGAAACGAACTCTCTTTTTGCGGTGCAAAGGGGAACCCGCTCTGAACAGAGTAAATTACAACCTAAAATACAAGGACTGACCAAAGCAACAATAATTCAAACAAGGAACCCCTGAAAAAAGCAAGCTATCCCAGTTCCAGGCAAGACACTATATCGGTAACCAGGGGAAAAACACTCGGTGATTATCCTACGGTCCTACTGTAGCATATTCCAAGCATGTATGGACACAAAACCACCAGTCAGCAGCCAAGCCAAGTGGGCCCCACCTCCGCTTTTCTCGCCGGATATGCAAAGGCAAGCCGTCTTGTGAGGACTGCCTTTGAATCCACCCAGGCCAATAGGTCGGCACCACAGCGATGATATGCCAAATGCCAATCGCGCGAAGGAAGTGCCAGGAACTCATGGCCATCCAACATAAGTCACACCAGGCAAACATGTACATGCTGCATATGCTGCATATCAGCAACATGGTATGCATATGCTGCATATCAGCAGGCGCGGTTTGCATTGGTCATCGCTCGGCTTGGAACCCATGGCCCAGATTTCCAGCCTGCGCTACTTTAAAAACAGCTTTGCCTGCGAGGGACTGATTTTGCGACGCCAAAGGCTCGGATTCTGCGGCTCATCGAAGCTCTGAACCTCACCGACCCCGCTGGTGCCCGTAGTGTGCGTCCTTGACATGTTGTGCCAGCGCCTGCGTCGAGGCGAAGCGCTTCTCGCACTCGCCGCATTGGTTCATATGAGCCTTGCAATGGTTGCAGTGCTGGTCTACCTGGATATCCACCTGAGCCCGTTGATCCGTTGTATACAGTTTGGGTTTTGGTGGGGTGCAACATAAAATCCCCCGCTCTCAATTCTAAAAGCTTCCTCAGGCTGAAAAAGTGGCCGCAAGGGGTCCTCCAAAAACAAAACTGCGGACCCGTCTCAAAACGGCTGAGCCACGTTGTGCTTTCCGCGCATGTGGGCTGCCAAGTCGCGCTCGTTCCCCTTGCGGGTCCGCCAAGGACAAAACGGGCAATCATAGAAATGGACGCCCTGCATGCCACTCAGCGTCCGCCCTCAGCTACTAAGTGCTAAGCCGATGCACGATGAGCCAACGTAAATCGTGAATCACGTCTTCAGTGAATGGACAAAGTCCTGCACCAGTTGGATGAAACCCTATGAATGGGATAGACCAGCTAATTCCCCCCACAGCGGTGTGAACTTCGGAGTCATCCGAAGGACTCTTGCCCCTTCATCAAAAAAGACGGGGCCCTGTCCTCCAAAGGGGCGCATGGGGCGCCACCTCCTACGCTCCTCCCGAAGCCACCGAGTCAACTCGGGGAATGCTCGGCCCAGCAAGCCGGAAGCCTCAGCCCCGTGCGGGAAGGGCAGCACTGGTGTTTCCCAGATCTGCGCAGGGCCTGGCAACAGGGCCCGGACACCCCGAAGGAAAGGGGGGGTTCCTCGGCTCAGTTTGCCTGGAGGTGGAAACCAAAGGTACAGACACACCTTCCAAAAAAAAAGGTGCTCTCCTCCCTGACAGCTGCCCCAAACCACCAAAAAGGCCCGTCTGGGCAGAGACCCCATAGCTTGCAGCTGGGGAAAAACACCGAGAGCTGAACAATTCCCATCCTGCCACGAGTACGTAGCACGTGTAAAACGCACCTGGAAGACCAATTTCCTGGGCCCTGCTGTCGGGCTATGCTAGTGACGGGAGGGAAGGGCAACTAGAATAGGGTTGTTGGGTATGGTGAAAGCAAACGATGTCGACTAAGGAGTAATTATTGGTAAAACATATTATAGCCCTGCTCTTCGGGGAAACACAGGGCTCTTTTTGCGGCTGCACGAAGTTAGGTGAACTCCTATGATAACTGGGCGTGCCTGAAGCTCGTTCCAATGGAAGTCTTCCGAAAACCCTCAAATTCCATTGGTTTGTCTTAACCTCGTTTGAGGACATGAGAGGGTTTGATTCCCGCCTTTCTGAAGAAAGGATCTCTGGTGGAAAAAATGGGAAGCTCTCCCCAGTGCTTTTGGAAGTTGGCCTTCTTTCTGCAAACTAGATCCACGAGCCCATGGGATCCATTTACCGCTGCAAACAAATCCGGGTTCCTGAGTTCCGGCCATGTGAGTCTCCTTGGATGTCATCTGAGTATGAACCGCGGACACGCACCATAACGCGCCCTCGGGCGCACAGGGAAACATGGCAACATAATGTCCAGCAACATCCACCATTTGACTTAGAATGTGCCAAATGATGCTAGGCAATCACATATTATTCAAAAAGTGGTATGGGAGGCCTCCTGTGGGGTACCTCTTTAGGAAGTGCCTCGGGTTGCCCGCAACAACCCCGTGCTTCGTGCTTCAAAGCTACCATCCATGTCAGGGCGTCTATCTTTAGAGGACCCCTAAAAAAATGGCGCTTCTTGCTTTTGGTTCCCCTTCCACCCAAAAGGGGAAGCCTCAAAAGACACACCCATGTCGAACCTAGAGGTATGATTCCTGGTTGCCTGCTATAGTGGTCCTAGCATTGGGAATGGTCAATACCTGGCGTGCCAGGCGCAGGTAGAACCCAAACTGCACGCCCTTCCAAACATTGCGTGCACTAACTTGCTGACAGCGGGGAGCTCTTCGGTTTGTTAAAATTGTTCTGTGATTTGCTGTTTTCTGTGTGTTAAACAAAGTGTGTTTTCTGTTTGCTGTCATTTGTGTAAGTTGGTCTTTGTGGTTTCTTCGATTTGTAAGTTGTTCGTTGAACTCTCTCTGTTTATTAACCTCTTTCTTTGAACTCTCTCGGGCCCTCACATGCTCAGCGGGTACGGTACTGGGCTTAGATTCTGTACAACCAGGAACACAACCTACTAGTACGTCAGTTGAACATCCAAGTATGTCGGGCCCCAGGAATCTCATAAGCAAACAGGAACGTGGTGGAAGCAGGGATGTGGGCATATCTATCAGGCAACGTTTAAAATATGGCTTAAGTTACCGAGAATCCTCCAACATAGACCACACGCGCACAGCAGAAGCCATAGTGCAAAAACATGAAGCCACAAAACGATCGCGATTCACAGCAAACGGTTCTGACAAAGAAGGGGAAATGCTTCGGGCAACCAAATGCATTGGCAATCGCAAGGACCCGCATGGAGAAAAAGTCGCCCCTTTTTCTTTTGGTCAAGCGGATGTGAGACCTTTGAGCTCTTCAAACCCCAGGCTCAAAAGCGCATCCAGAAATTCGCAGCCTGGTCTTTGCAGCTGAATTCTATCACGCTAGACTTGTGCTAGGCCTAAGCTTCAAAGGTGTCCTCCCCCGCTTCACTCACTAACTTCTCAAACTTGTCCCGTACAACGCCACTGATCCATTGAATCATGGCACTCTTCACATGTTGGTTGACTTTTTCGAAACCAACACTCCTTTGAATGGTGTCTTTCACCTTCTTCTCATCCCGCGGATCAAAAGCTTCTGCATCAGCTACGTTGACCTCACAAAGCGACCGAGTCACTTCTGCGATCCCAGCATCTCCCAGGGAGATCTTCTGTGACAAAGACACGGTCGCTTCGTAGGGCATCACGAATGTCACATCAATTTGTAGGCAACAAGCCACATATTGTTCATAAATGGTCCACACGCGTCTCAAATACATTGGCTGGTGCCAAGAATCCAAAACCGCGAGCACACGGCCACTCCGCCGAAGATTCTCTTCGAAGACCTCTTCCAAGTTGTCACTCCCAGCAGATGTTCCATCGACGATGAGCCGGAACTGATTGTTGACAAAGAAACCTGGTTGCTGGTTCTGACAAACAGTGTTGGGTTCAGGGAGACCATGCATGATGATCCCAGTATGCACATCAATGATATTTGTAAGCAAAGTAATCTACAACGTTGCTATTGTGATACCAGCGTTCCATACTACCTAAAGTAAATGGAAGCAGTGTGTTACAATTGATGCTGGGTTCAAAAATGTTCAAACAAAAAGCCGACTGTGTTTGCCCAGGCACACATATAAAAGAAAACATCTTGAACTTGACATTGAACTTTCCACGTCTGCAAAGCGCTTCTCCTGGGCCAGAGAATGACAACAATCAGAATCACCCCACAACAACAAAAACCGAAGAAAAAAGGAAGAAACAAAAAAACGGCTGCAGGCTCACAGGTGCGGAAGCCACAACATCCATAATCCTTACCCTTGGGTCGAGACCCCCCGACAAACTACCTCAGTCTTGACCCCGCTCACTTGCAAGCAGTCTCTTGTCACTTCGCCAAACCCAGTCACTTCCTTTCCCAGGGCCGATGGAAATGCCCAAGAAAACCAGAGGGAAATCGGCGGTGACAGGGATCCACTGGGAAAAACTCCAAGAAACGCCCTGACCAACGAAACCCTCATCCAAACCCAGTCACGTCATTGCCCTAGTAGGCCACCACAGGGAAAAAAACACGCATCCAACAATTTGAGACGCGACGAGGCGCAGCTGGCCCAACGAATACCGCCAGCTCCAGGACATGAAGTGATTCTGTTCTCTCCGATGCTCGGGGCAAAGCAAGTCCACGAAGGCACAGCCCAGCTTGCCGTCTCGAGGACATGTGACATCTTGCCCCATTTTCTGCTCGTTGCACCAAAAGGCCTCTTTCAACTGGAGGAAAGTTGGATCAGCCTCCTGCGACTGTTGCTGGGCGAGCTCCACGAAGTCGCGGAGCAAGTACGCCATGCTCACACCTGCGTGGCAGCTCTGGCGACAGCGAATCTGCTGGACCCGCTTGTCCACAGCCGCTTTTGTCCATCCGAAGTGACTCAGAAGCAGGCAAAACTTCTGCACGGTTCCCTCCTGACAGTTTCAATTCAGGCATCCGGCCTTCGAAACATGGTTGGCTCGGGTTTCCATCAACAGCCCATGGGCGGATTTCCAGCAACTCTGGCGATTGGACTCGGCGGTGGTGGGGGCGGCGGCGGCTGCGGTGGTGGCAGTGGCGGTGGTGCGCTTTACTCTAAACTTTCGCCGGTGATACGTGTCTAAGGTACTCCTCAGAAAACCTATTCATGTTACATGTTCCACCTTGCTATGATAGAATAGAGTAGAGTCGAGTAGAGTTGAGTGTAGACTAGTCTCGTAGTTTTTTTTGTTTGGAGTCTTTAACTGCCCATGCTTGAGGATGTCTCGCAGAATCGCTACTCTGTCACAGCTTCGAGTTCGATTGACGAACATCTCGTAGAATTGTTTCGTTGTCGCATCTTCTGTCTTCCATGCGCAGAAAGCTTCTACTTCAACCTACGCATTCATATGTTTGACGCCTTGCATTTCCGTTTGAAAGGTCCAAAAACGAGCTTTCCAGCATCGCTGGTGATTGGATTCGGGTGGTGGTGGTGGTGGTGGTGGTGGTGGTGGTGGTGGTGGTGGTGGTGGTGGTGGTGGTGGTGGTGGTGGTGGTGGTGGTGGTGGTGGTGGTGGTGGGGGTGGGGGTGGGGGTGGCGGTGGTGGTGGTGGTGGTGATAGGGTAGAGTGGAGTACGCTAGGCTAGAGCAGGGTAAAGCACCTTGGCGAAGATAAGAGTTGCACAAAATGTCAGTTGTGAGGGTCGCATAATTTCTGCATTTTTACTCCCTTGAAATTCCATGTGTGGAGGAAGTTTCGTAGAATTGCTTCGTGTTCGCATCTGCATCTGCCCATCTTTGAGGAATGTCTCTCAGAGATGCTCCGCGTTCACAGCTTCATCGTTCCATGTTTGAAGAAGGTCTCGTAGAATTGGACATCTTGCAGCAAGCTTCGCATTCAAGGTGCACATTCACATTTTTGACGCCTGCATCTTCGCTTGGAAAATCGTTGATCTGCGCTTCAAAAACTTACACTTCTTCTCTTTTGGCTCAAGCTGGCTCTGGAAGCTTGGTTTTCTGCATGTCTGCGTGCTCCTGCGGCTTGCGTGCGCTGCTGCAAGGCTGCTTGGTGTAAATATTGCGGGTTTTCGTGAGAGGCGCTGCGAAAAACGCAGCTCAGTATGAGGGAGAAGAGAAGCGTGGACCAGAGAAGAAGCTGAACAACCCCCGCCTAAGAAATTCGCGTGGCTAAACTAGACTCCAGCCACACACGCGCCAAAAAGTCAATCCTCTAGCATGCTGCTGACCGACGCGACGGCAAAGAAACTCAGGCAAACCAAAACGGAGCCAAGGGAGCATCGACCCCTAATCAACAGCAGCCGCCCACCAAAATCACGCTTGCTGTTTGGTGGAAATCCCCTTCATTGGGCTGATAGCAGGTGAAAGTCATCTGAACGTGGGTGAAAGGCTGCCAAACCAAAAAGCGTCTAAGCGCGCAATCTTCCTCAACCTAACCTGGGTCTTTGTGGCTCAGCAAAGCTTCAGCAGCTGCGCGAGTTTTCCTGCGTGGGAGGCGCGCGCTCTGCGTGCTCCTGGCGCCTAGACCTCTGCCAAACAAAGAGTCAAGCCAAGCCGCCACATCTTTGAGCAACGGCGACATGCTGCAGCCAAGCGGCCCAACAAGCAAAATAGCTCCCGCGACGGCGGCCTAACTTGTCGCTTGTCACATCTGTCTGTCACAGGCTCTGTCACATCTGCCTGCCAGGTCTCTCTGTCACATCTGTCTATGGCAGGCACTGTCGGCGGGTGGGGCTGGCTGTGGAGGTTGGATGTCACGTCGGGTGGGGAAACAAAGAGCCTGAAGTGGCGTGGCATCCAAGCGTTCCCACACTCTTCCTATACGCACATTCTGTCTGACACTGTCCTTTGCCCTATAGATCTTCACCCCGGAACTTCCGCCCGGGTCCTTGTGAAGTCTCTACTAGGTCCTCCAGTAGAGAGGTTGGAATAAGGGTACCCCTATTTCTGTATTTTAGTAGGGGAACCCTCCCCAAAACAAGGGCACAAGGGCACTACTGGGGGACCTAGTCTAAGTTGGGCAACCCCCGTCCTGCTGATCCCAAAGCTCTTCCTCCATCTCATCGAGCAAGCCATCCACTTGCCGGAAGCGCTCCTGGCTCTCCTTCACCCGACGCCTCTGGGACCTTCGCCGCACCAAGAACATCAGAAGACCCAACACCATAGCCGCCGCTGCAATCAGAGGGAGGTGGAACCATCTGCCTTGGATGGACTGAAAAAAAAACGCAACAACAGCAGGTCTTGCCCGAAATGAATCGATGACAAAGGAATATGAAAGGCACAAAGCACGTATGTGTTTTGTACGTGGCAAGAAGCAGATGTTGCCATTCAAAAAGAACGGAAAAGCACAGACTTCGCAGTGGATTCCAGTTGAAAACTTTCCCGGAGAGCATTTCTCGCATCTACTGCGATTGGCATTGGGCACATGTCCATCATTACAGGTACTGCATTTCTCCCCCATCGAATAACGGCCTGCTGGGCACGTTTCACAAGCCTCACGATGTGGTTCTTCCCCTGCAGCACATGGCACACAAAGCAAATCTCCGCGAGACTTGTGGCGGGGTTCAGGTACCAAAGAATCAGAGCAATGACAGCAACTCACTTCATTCACCATGGCACCCCAAAGCCGCGACTGCAAACGCACTCGCAGTGAGGTTCCGGGGCGACATGAGAAGGTCTCGCAGGATTTTTGCAAAAAGGCCAAGCCGGCGACGCTGGCGCCTGTACCATTGCCACGGAATTGTCCAGGCCGTCCGAACTTTCGGCTCAGCAAAGAACATCGACCGGAGTCTTCAAGCACGAAGGCTGAACATCTCTCGAGATGCTCACAAGTTGCAACACAACTTCTAAAACCTGTAGCTCTTGCGAAGGTGTCTTCCACACTCCAAGTGCCTCTTCCGAGGTCAATGTAGCCTGAATTAATGGGAAAGCATTTGACTCGCACGCACGCCAAACTTGGATCGCCGCATGGGCACGTAGGACAGTTGGCATAGCTGAAATCGAAAGTGTGGAAATCTAGCTCCGGCCACCCCAAGCCTTGCGAGGTGTGACTGTGCACACATTGCGTCACGCCAGAGGCATCGAAATAGTTTTGCATAAGCTCAACCGCTGAAAAGTTCCATGTAGACAAAGGCTGGTTGAATCTGCTGGCGCCGGCGAAAATCTTGCTCATGTCCGTCAAAGAAGATGTGACCCACGTACCAAGCGGCTGATTAAAAGCTTTGGCACCAGCAAACATGGCATACATGAATTTGACGCCAGAAACGTTCCAGGAGCCAATGGGCTTGTTGAATGCGGTGGCTCCGTAGAACATAAAACTCATGTTGGTCACCGCAGATGTGTCCCACAATCCGACGTCTTGGTTGAACTTCGCAGCGAGGTAAAACATCGTGTTCATGTGCCTGACTCTGGAGACATTCCAAGAGCCAATCGGCTTGTTGAACGAGCTAGCACCGTGGAACATAAAGCTCATGTCGCTCACCGAAGATGTATCCCACGACCCAATGTCTCGATCAAACTCCGAAGCACCGTAGAACATGTCGCTCATATCTGTCACGCCGGAGGCATTCCAGGAGCCAATGCACTTGTTGAACGACCTGGCACCATAGAACATCCAGCTCATGTTCCGCACTGCAGAGGTATCCCACGACCCAAGGTCTTGGTTGAAATTTGCGGCATTGTAAAACATATCCCTCGTATCTGTCACAGCGGACACATTCCAAGAGCCAATAGGCTTGTTGAACGAGCTGGCTCCGTAGAACATGAAACTCATGTCCTTTACTGCAGATGTATCCCATAATGAGATGTCTTGATTGAAATGTGCAGCATTGTAGAACATTGTATTCATATCTCTGACTCCAGAAGCATTCCAACAGCCAATGGGACTGTTGAACGAGCTGGCTCCGTAGAACATCCAGCTCATGTCCTTCACTGCAGATGTGTTCCACGTTCCGATGTCTTGATTGAAGCTTGCAGCTTTGGCAAACAGTCGACTCATGTTTCTGACACCAGAAACATTCCAAGACCCAATCGGCTTGTTGAACGACCTGGCAGCGTTGAACATCCAGCTCATGTCCCGAACTGAAGGTGTATTCCACGACCCAATGTCTTGGTTGAACTCGAAAGCGTTGTAGAACATGTGACTTGTATCTGTCACAGCGGAGACATTCCAAGAGCCAATAGGCTTGTTGAACAAGCTGGCTCCGTAGAACATATAGCTCATGTCCCTCACTGCTGATGTATCCCATGAAGAGATGTCTTGATTGAACTTGGACGCGTTGTAAAACATGTATGCCATATCTGTGACACCAGAGACATTCCAAGAGCCGATCGGCCTGTTGAATGACGTGGCTTTGTAGAACACGTAGCTCATACCCCTCACTGAAGATGTATCCCATGAGGAGATGTCTTGGTTAAACTTGGCAGCGTTGTGAAACATTGTATTTATATTTGTCACAGCAGAGACATTCCAAGAACCGATGGGCCTGTTGAACGATGAGGCTTCAGAAAACATGAATCTCATGTCCCTGACTGCTGATGTATTCCATGACGAGATGTCTTGATTGAACTTGGAAGCATTGTAAAACATTGTATTCATGGCCACCACAGCAGAAACATTCCACGAGCCGATGGGCCGGTTGAAAGACGTGGCTCCGAAGAACATCCAGCTCATGTCCCTAACTGCAGATGTATCCCACGATCCGATATCTTGATTAAAGTTGGCAGCACCATCAAACATTGACTTCATATTTCTGACAGCCGACACATTCCAAGAGCCAATGGGCTTGTTAAAAAGCCTGGCTCTGTAAAACATGAAGCTCATGTCCCTGACTGCAGATGTGTCCCATGATCCGATGTTCTCATTGAAACGCAGGTCTTGGAACAAACCACGCATGTCGGTAATAGCAGACACATTCCATTGGTGAGGCTTTCCATATTTGAGTGCCACTTGAAACGTTGCATCTGTGTCATGGTCACCCCAATGAACAAGGGCACTTCTCAGTTCTTCTCGATCCGTAAAGGATGCAAAGTTGCTTGGCTCACTCTGAACCAGCGGTAAAAGGTGCCATAGCTGCCACAAGTACCACATGGCGAGGAACGTAAGGCTTCGTACGGGGTCCAAATGGCAGCGGGGGTGCTTTCAACGTGCCCGACTTGGCTGTCATCAAAGGTCGCCAAGCTCAGAAAGTCAGAAAAGTCAAAGGTGATCTGAAGCCAAGTTTGACCCAAGTGCAGAGTGCAGCCTTGCACCATGCCAGCCCATCAAAACCATTTCCCACACCGCTGTCTCCCTGGTTTATATCTCCCGATGTTCGCTGCTGTTGGGCATTTCAAACATTTCCCCTTGGGTTTGGAAAGGGTGGTTCACCCGGTGTTGTTGTACTGGAAACTGAGATGCGTTGTGATTGCTTTTGAGAATTGGAACATGAGGCAAACAGAAATTCCATGCGAATACCCCATTATCATAAGACACGAATACCCCCCCTTCCAACCTGCAAATTATGAGAACCCCCCGGGATTGAATGATATTATCTACTGTTCAGGCCGCGGGATCCACTGGGCAGGATCCAATCGTCCGTTGCTCATATTGAGAATATGGGTCTGTGCCCACTGTCTACTCACCATCCAGCGAGGTTCCATGGAAAAACTCATGGGAAACTCCGAAAACTCATGGGACACCCCGCGGAAACACGAGGCAGGGTCCACTGCCCCAAGGGTCGACTGCCCTTTCCATGTGCTATGCCAAAGGCTCAGTCTGACTGAACCCCTGGAACCAAAATTGACTCATCACCCTCCAGTTGCCGCAGTTTTTTTTCGGGAAGAACAAAAAATCATATGAGTCATATATGTCTAAGAGTGATAGATTTGCTGGAACACCCAACAAAACAAAAACCCAACAAAAAAGGCGCTTCAGCAAACAGTCATGCTGCCAGGTCCTCTGCGCCATCAAGATCACTCACCGCTTCGGCAAGAAGAACCCAGCGGAACCGTCGCAGACGATCCTTCGAAAGATCCTTCGGAGCCTAGGTATCCTTTTGACAGAAGAAACAAAAAAGAAGAAAAGCACTGAGACATGTGGTTGACACAGATTGGAACCGGTGCCATTCGTTTTCAACGCTGACTAAAAAAGGACCCCTATCTGGGACAATTCCCAACTGGAATCCCCAGAGCTCGTTATTTGCACATGCCGGCCAAGGGCATCTGTAAGAGTATAGCTTGAACGCATACCGCCTTTCTTGCGGGGCGTCTCCGAATGCCGCGTTGAGTCGCCTGGCGAGTGGCGAATCAGCTGGCAGCAAGCAACTTACAAAATTAAGGTCTGTTTTTACCTAGGTCCTCCAGTAGAGAGAGAGGATAGAATAAGGGTACCAACTTTTTCCGTAGTCTATTTTAGTAGGGGAACCCTCCCCTAGAAAAGGGCAAAAGGGCACTAAATACTGGAGGACCTAGTTACCTGGGTTGTTCAAAATGGAGGTTCGCCAATCCTAATCCACAATCCCTATAGGGAAGCCTTTGAACAGCCCAGTTTTCTCAGGCC